CCTGGCACCCAAGCCTTTAGTGCTATTTTCCAATCCACTTTAGGCTTACATGTAACATGCCAGTCTTTACCCCGCGAAATTCCACATTTTCGACCGAGGAGTTTTCAAGAAACGGCTGATGATCCGTTGCATCATTGAATCTTCCTATTTTTGGATCCCTTTCTTCGATAGCCGATTGTCATTCCTGTGGCTTCGGGCACTTGTAATTCTGTCGAAAAATGAGAGAACAGAATCTTTTCAGCAGACTACTAGCTTGTAAGCGACGGTCAGAAGACTTGACAAAAATTCCATGTCAAAACACATATCTTTCGTTTCTCAAGACTCAGCCAAGTTTGTATCGAAGCCTTTTCGAGACCCTTCTCCGGGATGTAACTCCTCCAACTTCAATACCCCAGATCAATTGATGACGATGCGTGGTTACAGGGAATTCAATTGGTGCATAGCTTCTTCACTCCCCTTGTCAGACAGCAAGGGCCCCTTATCAACACATGGGCCACCAATCCAACGAATCTCATTCCATACATTATTGCTGAAATCTAGCCCAACAATCTGGAGAATCCAAAAGCGCAGCATGTAGGTAGCGTATGATTTGGAAAGAAAGGCACAGGAACTCAAAAAAATCCTTGCGGTGTACAGGCTTCGTTGCTAGTGTTCCGTCGGACCCGTTCATGATAATGGGACCGATTTTGATTCAATCCGTGTTGATCAACGTGGAGATTGGTTCGTTCGATCACCATGAGAAAAGGCCGCTAGGATGGCCAAGAGGGAAGTCCCTCTCTTCATCTTCGAAAGGAAATGCATTTTATAATTACTGGCACAGAATTGATGGGGAGCTTAAAAAATTATACCTCGGTGGATTGCTAAAGAGGAAAGGTCTCAATTCAGATCGCTCGACTAAGGACGATAGTACAAACCATCAAATGCGCCAATAAATGTACCGGTCAAATGAGGATCTTCTCGAGATTGGGGAAAACGCCACTGAGCTAGCTTGAAAAACCACATTTGACAAGGATATTATGGAAATAGTGGTCATGCACCTAACGAAGTATATGAATGCGTCTTGAGATGTACGAGATTAGCATGGCCCCTAGGGATAAGAAGGTAAAGATGCCCATGGTTTTCCTTCCTGTTGTTCCAGACCTCTTTAATTCGGTTCACTACATAAATCTTTCATCCTCACGGTAGGACCGTACAGCCAGTCTTAACATCTCTCTTCTTTTTTTTCTATCCCTTTAATATGGCACAAGATTCCTCTCCTCCGAATCACTCGGACAATTCAATGTCAGGCTCAATCGATAAGGACATTGGCCCTCTTGGGGCCAGTACAGCAGACCACGTGGAAGTTGTTCGTACTATTTCCAGAGTCCCAGGAAATGCACATTACTACGAGAAAGATGGCGTGCGAACATACGGAGACGGTGAAGACCATGATCATGAACCACCGGTAGGCATGCAGAAGATACGTTCTAAAATTCGTGGCTAAACGGTGCTCCATAGATGACCATGAATCGAATGATGTCTTTAGTTGCAATGGCTTTCTTATGGACAGGTTCCCAGATACCAGTATATCTTTTCGGTAAGTCATTATATTACTTCAAGAACAGTTTCGATCTAATAGTATTTAGGTGGTATTCCACCATATATCTACGGCGATTTGGGGGGGGCAGATAGGTGGACTTGGTTTGTGTTATCCAATTTACTCGCTTTGGCAGCTGTTTGTCCATTTGTAGGAGCACTGTCAGATCTTTTTGGAAGAAGATACATTGCCATCGGTGGTGCTGGTTTGATTGTCATTGGAATGATCATTTGTTCCACAGCACACTCCATGAACGTTTTCATTGGTAGGTTTCGTGCTACAGATTTCATCACAATATACTAAACATTACAGGTGGTATGGCTATTGCAGGCGCAGGCGCTGGTATAAACGAATTAACAGCACTTGCTGCAACCTCCGAACTTGCACCAACAGCAAAGCGTGGAAAATATGTCGCCGTCCTAATCTTCACTATTCTACCATTCACCCCATCTGTACTCTGGGGTCAGTTGATCGCATCGCATTCTAGCTGGAGATATGTTGGACTGTTCTGTGGTCTCTGGGCATTCATGGGGCTCGTTATTACTGCAATGTTTTACTTTCCACCTCCCCGAGTTAATTCTGACGGCCTCTCACGCAAAGAGATCATATCTCAAATTGACTTTGTAGGCGGATTTCTCTCAATCGTTGGTCTGATTCTTTTCGTCGCTGGTCTTCTATGGGGTGGATATCAGGTAAGTACTCCTATCTTAAACTTTCCCAGAATAGGAAAAAGCTCACCAACGAAATTCAGTATCCTTGGGCATCTGCACATGTACTTGTTCCACTCATCCTCGGTGTTGCATTCATCGTCGCCTTCTGTTTTTGGGAGGTCTATGGCGCTAAACATCCCATGTTTCCTTCTCGACTCCGAAAAGAACCGCGTATCTTAGCTCTCACCCTCGTCATCACCTTTATCTCGGGTGCAAACTTTTTCTCCGTCCTCCTTTTCTGGCCCACACAAGCCTTCAATGTCTACGGACATGATCCAATTGGTGTCGGAATTCGAGGTCTTCCAGTTGGCTTTTCCATTCTCATCGGAGCATGCGTTGTTCTTTGGCTCTTATCTGTCTTCCGCGGAGGAAACCGTATGCTTATGATTATCTCATCTTGCATGATGACCGCAGGATGCGGTGCCCTTGCTGCTGCTGACCGTAATAACATCAACGCGGTATATGGTATTCTCGTCGTAGCTGGCCTTGGAATTGGTGGTATCGTAGGTGCGTACTCGGCTTTCACACTCAGTTCCCCCTAAAAAGAATTTCGGTGCATGATTACTGACTCTCCAATTTGAATGCAGTTCCCGCCTCAATCATCACCACTATCATTTGTCCCGACGACTTGATCGCCACAATCGCAGCACTTACGCTCGCTATTCGTGTAGTTGGTGGAGCGATTGGTTACACAACCTATTATAACGTCTTTTTGACCAAGTTCATTCCCGAACTTTCCGTCAAAATTGCTCTTGCTTGCTACGCGAATGATATTTTTGACTTAGAAATCATCAGCCATATTGCGGAATTGACCGGCGCAAGTCTTCTAGACGAAATCTTGCCTCTGGTGGGTAACAATGTTACTATCTGGAATGAAGTCGTACTTGCAGGTCAAGAAGCTTATGCTACTGCGTACCCATGGGTATACTATGTCAGTATTGCTTTTGGAGCAGTCTCAATTCTTGCAAGCATTGGGTTGGGCGATATCAGTAAATACATGGATGATCATGTCGCAGTTGTCATGCATTGATTTCTTCAACGATGTATCATATGAGAGGTATATCCGGTTAATCAAGTGAGCGCCGGTATAAGATTTGAGTAGAGGGGGAAAAGCAGGATGCAAATAAGGTGTCAAGGGCCTATTTGTAAATAGCAATCAGGGCATTATTAGTGCTCATATCATGACTTAACGGAAACGGTTCAATTAAATAGTAGATTTCAAACGATAAACATTCAGAATTTCCTCTCCTTTCTTACCAAGCGAGTCAATAATGTATAGTCTTCAACGCGATTGATTCGTATTCGATCACTGTCGTCAATCGTCCCTTTATCATCCCTCAAAAACTCCACTATTGTACAAGTACCTGAATAGGTAAACAATTACCAAATCTGAAAAATCAAACAGTCACGTGTATCTTGAGTGTTGGTCTCCAACACACCACTCACTCCGCACCTAAATCTCAATCTCTCTTACACATCACAACAGGAAAATTTCTTAGATGAAACATACATGAGGCAGCACGATTTCCCATTCCTTTCATACTTCTCAAAACGTACAAGAAGCTCAAGTGTGATCTTAGCGCCGACTCGTTGGAGACGTGTTGGAAACTTCATGATTAGGTAGAAGTTGTAGGTACTAGGTAGGCAGAGTTTGAAAGTTGAACGGTGAGAAAGTTGGTTGGAAATTGGACTGGAGTTTGACGGGTGAGAAATTATGTTGTTTGGATTATTGATGACTTGCGATTGAGAGGTGAGGGGGTTCCTTTGCTGTGGGTTGTGTGAAGTTGAGGCATAAGGTTAGGGTGATTGTAACCTTGGATGTGGAGGTAGAGCTGGAGAGTGGTCGTCAATTTGAGTTGTAAGTTGTAACGTTGGTTCATATCTGGAAATTCGGAATTGCATGCATAATGATCGATTCAAGAGATTTTGTGATGTATATTTTTGGGAATAGAAATCGAATTATTGGAAGTCGTTGCTTGGAAAATTCAAGAAAATATTTTTTATCCTTTTTGATCTTCAAGATACCGTATCCTCTGGAATTTTCTTTCCAGAAACTTTTCTTTGCATGGTTTTATATAGACTTCAACTCATATTGCTGTTTGGTTAAGTCTTGTGCAGATTGTCAATTTATGATTTCCAGCACTTTGCAGGGAGAAACAAGTTTCTAGCCATATGGTATATGAAGTGTGCTTTTTGGGGATGATTTTACTTTGGTATTAAGATATAAATATGCCATGAATTTCCTTTTGAGGGGAAATTATAAGATATATTCATGCAAAGCCGCATATATCTCTAGACCACAAGCTCTCACATCCTCTCCTCACAACAAGGCAGTCAAATAATTCTTTACATGGTCCGCGCTTGCGAAATGCAACAAAAAACTTGTTAGGCACACTTAAATTGTATATTTGTACCATCTAACTCTGTGGGGCCCTCGCGGCGTCGAACCCTGGGTGCGGCAGTGTTCTTTGGCGCCTACCGGGGGATTTTTACGAGAAAAAGAAAAGAAAAAGGTGCCTAAACACACCCTGTCTGTGGATAAGATTTGCAACAAAACGTAAATTGCGTTTGGGTATCACGAGGTGGATGATGTAAAGATAATTTGTGGTCAAGATATATTTTGTAGGTGCTATTTGAGATCTCTCCATCTATCTGTTTAACCCATTGCGTGGAGTCTACCTTTTACCCTCCCATATTCATTGTTACGTGCTACATCAACGTCCCCCAAATTGTTCTACATAGTACTTGTACTTAACAACCTCATATCTCACGAACTCACCACTCTTCATCCTTACCCCGAGCATCACTTTCCTGAATCTGTCAGATTCAATCGCAACCCCACCTACATGTCCATTGATATGTGAGCCTCGTATAGATTTCGAGTCCCTGTAAGACTCTAATTGTTCCCTGCTGAAACACCTCAGCTCTTCGTTTAACAGCTCAGCCGATAGATCAGAGCCTTTTCCATGATTATCGTTAATTCCATCTAGAACGAGCAAAAACTTCATGCCCAAATCCTTGTGCTCGAATCCCCTATGGGCCATAGGATTGAAGAATTGATGATTAGTAGACTTCTGATGGGCTTGAAAATAATCCCACATGTGAGGAAATGAGATGATGCATTTAACTTTAACCCAGCCAGCACACAGATTCGCTTCTTCGGGAGATCTTATATGTGAAGCTTTAAACCATGATGCTGTGTGTTCCCCTGGCTTTTGAAACGTATATATGGGCTTGGTTCTTCCGACGGGATCATCTACGCCTGTGGTGAGGAAGTGGAGATTCTCAGCATGTTTTGATTCTTCGGTGATATAAATTGAGAGTGAGAATGCTTGCGGAGTAACTTCTAAGCAGAATTTGCGGAAACAAATTTTCTTGATAGGTGCCCTGTCGAGAGCATCCTGAACAGTCATTGGAACGCTTTGTCTTTTGGAATCGAGAGGCTGAAATAGTGGTCTTGGTATGGCGGAAGGCTTGGAAGAATCGGTCCAAAGATAGGCCTACACCATGATCAGCATAACTAAAATCAAAGCTAATGAAATATCATAGTGATCATATGACTTACACATGTTGGAATCTGACCGATTTTGATAAATAACCTGTAAAAACACGTTGTGTTATAACCTAGGTCCGAAATCAATCTTGACGTTGTACGTGCTTTATCCTTTGGCAGTATTCCGTCCTGAGGATTTACTATTTGCATCCCCTTTGACTGAATGGATGTTATACTTTCGCCAGCTCTAACAAACGACATCAACTTTGCTAGGTCACCATTGTATAATGAAGGTAGACAACCTTCAGCTGCCAAGAATGAGTATTTAGCAATCAGGCCCTTTCGAGCTTCGGGTCTGAGATCGTCCTGTACTTTCATAGCAATGGCAACGTTCTTTAGCCATGCAATCCATGGCTGGTATAATTTGACATGAGGTAAAACATCGTTCATCAAAATCATGTAAGTCTGAGTGATTGTCTTCTCATCATTACCTGCTAGTATTCTTTCTAGAACTTCAGCGAGATGCTCCGATTTCGTTGGTCCATGGTAAGCCCGAACATGACCCAGAACACTAACGTCCATGTGGTCGTAAGTATCAAAATTTCCAGACTTGCGTGCGTAGTAGGCTAACCATTGTTGAGCAGTCTCGAGGTGACTCCGGAACTCTTCCCCGAGTGGACGCCCCACAAACAACTTCCTCACATTGGCTACTGCTTGTCTGTAATAATCCGGGACGATGTCTTCGCCTGGCCAGATAAATGGCACAAGTGTTCCATCATCAGAGAGAAAGCAAAGATTGCCGAAATCTCTGATAAACGTCTCGCATATTTCGCAGGACATCATTCGACGTTTATTGGGTAAGCCGCGGGAAAACATTTCGTAGATGATGTTCATTCCAAAGTCCCTGCCTGTTAGATCCGACAGCCTAAGATCCGCATGGAATAGGGGCCCTCCTCTATTTCTTTCGTTTCGGTTGACGGTCAGCTGCATTGCTGCTACTAAAGGTTGGATCGCGCGATCATCTGCGCTCAGTTCGGAGATATGATATCCATCTGGGAGATCTATGATCTCAAACTCTTCCTCCATCTCGAAACAGTTTGCTATCTGTGCTGTCATCCATTTCTTTGTTTGGGGATGACATTAAAGCTCTTTAGTAGATTTAATTCTTGAAAGACGCAATGATACAGCCAGCAAAGGGTGTGCCGTAGAGAGCTGCTCTACGGTTCTTTGCACTTGACGCAACAACCATCTTTCAATATTGATGTTTTAGCCCATAATGAGTATACGGGAGCAGTACCAATACGCTTGTATTCAGGTTTGAAGGAGTTCTTGAGAATACCACAATTAAAAAACTTCTTTTTGCGGTCTCATAGTTTGTCCTTCGCCCACACAAGCGAGATATATCGCACTTCAAGTTGACCACACATCCATCTCACCTTATTTTTATGACATGAATATATACAAATAGTATCATATATGCCTACTCGATTGCCATTGATCCCTCTCTTATTGCGAGCCTCGCGATGAGTAAGTAAACATAAAGAATGATAGCAACCCATGAGCACGTGTTAGTAACGTGATCGGCTACAGAATGTTTCCTCGATCATAACAATCTCGGCTACTGAAGAAATTGTTGGTGGTCCACAGCTACTCTTTCGATCTATCGATGTTTTACTGTTGTTGATTGGTGTCAAAACAATGATGGGATGTTGTGTGATAGATAGTCTCTTGGAACATGCACTGAACATACAGCCCCTTGAAAGCAGAAGCCATTCACATCATTTCCACGTGCGATCCCCGTATTTTAGTGGAGTCGCGGATGTGGAACGGAATATACCCTAAATGAAATTTGTGATATCTCGTGCATTTATTATTATTATTTCATCTAAAAATATAGTTTCGATTATGGTTAAGGTTAAAGTTATGGGCAATGATAATTTGTTCTCGCACGAGAGAATCGAACCCACCCGGGGACCTCGGGGACTTCTAATGTTAATGAACTGCGAAGAAGCCAAGAAATTTCGAGACGATCTTTTTTGACAGTCAATATAAGCTTACAACGTTAGCAGAAGTGGCAAATGTACAATGTATTTAGGTAACTTCCCAGTCTGAGGAATGCGGGCGACTGAATGCGGGTAATCAGATCCAAATGGATTAATAAAGTGCTCTGCGACTCTCGAGTGAACGATTTGTCCTGCCGGTACAGGGGTTTTGACCGGATACGGCGTCAAACTTTCTTCGTTGAAAGCTTGAAGCATGGTAAGCAAGCATTCCCGGCGCTTAACATTGTGAATTACGCTCAATTGACCCAACGATCTGTGATTCCCCATATCCACTTTACCGGATGCAGTGCGTGATGGCCTGAAACCACTACGGCTCATAGCATTGAAGTCATCCCACTGTTGAAGTTCGAACGGCTAGCATAGCTCATTCTCCAGCAGGCGAGATTAATTTGGCATTGCTAAATTATTCAATGGCTTCAATTATCGGTGCCATGCCCAAATTGTTGGTTCTCTTCTCACAAGAACACGGAGCCGAGTTCCCATCACTATTATGATTATTATTGTATGCTCCTAGCCAAGACCTTTTTCCTTGACTGAACCGTAGGAGTTGTTGGGGTCCGTAACACTTCTTGGAATATCTCGTTTATTTTTTTTACGAGTATCCTTGGAGAGGTCCACATATGATCCAAGCTGTTGAGAAGCGCTCAAAGTGATCAACTATGTGGGTCGTTGATAGGGAAAGGATATCAAGGATATCACGGTCGTTCGCCCTTCTCATTGTATCCTCGCTTCTGAGCTTTGTCGAAGGAACTCGTTTTATGAATACCTCCCCTTCCCTTTTCTTCGGAAGTACCCATACAAAGTTTCAACTTACGTGATGACCTGATGTCTGGACACAGCGAGTTGGAGGTTGTTAATCAGCCTTTCGAATATTATGGTCCACAGCAGCATGATAAATTTAGTCCAGTTGTTGACGGCAACAGACAGATAGATGAGAATGGCCGCCCGTACTATCAAGAAGAAACCAAGTTTATAGGAATGCCAGTATTCCCCGCGGAACTTCCATTCGATAATTATAACCAGTCCCCAATCGCATTGTCACACAGAACATCATCAAATCTATCGGCCCAACAATATAGCGCTTGCTCGGAGGCACCATCATCACCGGCACTACACAATGCACCCTTGATCAAACAGCCAGTGTCGACGGAGAAAGAAGCAATAGTGTATACAGAAGATACGCAAAAGAAACGAAAAGTGTGGAAATGGTATATCTTAGCCGGTGTCATCGGATTGATCGTAGTCATAGCGGCAGTGGTTGGAGGAGTTGTTGCATCTAAGAAGAAGAACGTAGCTACTGTCGATGAGATATCCAGTAGCACAGATTCTTCTAATAGCTCATCATCTACGACTTCGTCGACAAATTCGCCGACAAGCAATTCACCCACTTCAACGAACACTGCATCATTGGCGAGCTCTACCGTTGCTCCATTCCAAAGAAATGTTGCTGCAATATCCTACGAGTCCAACAACGTCAATAACACTAGAGTGTATTATCAAGACAATCAAGGCAACATACTGGAAGCACATAACAGTGCATCGAGTGGGAACTGGTCGATAAGTTCAGTTGTTACCGCTAAAAATGGTTCATCGTTTGCTGCCGCTGTAACGATGCCTCAAAATGATTTCGTGAGTTGTCATATTTCCGGTAGTAAAGTATCTACTAACTGGAATACAGGCAATCACTGTATTGTACTCAGATTCTGACAATCTTCTTCACGACATTATATATGACGCCACTTCAAATTCATGGAGTGAAGGAACCTTGTCTTCCGAGAAATATATAATCTCCGAGAATTCAAGTGTTGCGGTGATGTACTGGCAATGCAGATTATGCAGCAATACCACCATCATCGCTTTTCAAGATGCAAACAACAAAATGCAGGTCGGAAATTTGACTGCCTCGGGCTGGGATTTAACCCAAATCATGGTTGACGTTGTAGATAACACTGGTCTTGCGCTGCAGCCATTTTACCGTCTAGATGAAGCAGATCAAATAAACTTGTACTATCAGAATCCAAGTAGCGTCATGACTATTTCAGCTTGGGAGTATCCCAGTAAGTTTTCTATAGAATTGTTTTCATATATTTCAGGCTAATGATACCCTTTAGCTCAAGCCTGGAAGTTCGATGCCGCATCGTACTATTCCTTCACATTCGGTATTCCAATCGCAGCATCTGCATCTTACTCACATGTTAACTGGACTGGCGACGTGCAAGCCGGTTTCGAAACCTGGGGGGAGACACTCGTAATATCGCGTAATGGTATTAAAACAAACACGTATTCGGGAGCTATTAATACCTGGTCGGCGATGGGGTCTCATCCATCAGCGATGGCAAACTCGACGCAAAATCCGAAAGTATTCAAATCCATAGCAGTTACAGCGATCGGAGCTGCGTTTGCGGTTGTAGAAATTGATGGGAAAGCAGATGAGATCGAAGCGTATCAAGTGAAAGATGACGCGATAAATTGGGACACGGCTGGGACCGTCGATATTGGCGATATCTGGGGGTAAATGAAAAATAAATAATGTATGTGTTTATGGAATTATGGAATTCTTGTACATTTATCATAATTCGAGGGTTCGGTGCCTCTTTCTTTCTTAGGCTATTATCGCCTTGAATTTTCATGTTACTGGTTAGATGTCCATTTCTTTCTTGGTTTTCGATCTTTATGTACAGGAAAGTCGCAATCATGAATGAATGAATGGTTGTAGCCTGGGGTGAGCTGATTTCTTCGTTTGCCTCACCGAATCCATAAGCTGCATAACCCCCTTGCAATTACCTACCAAAGGAGACCACGCCCTTTTTTGCAGGCCTTGTAGCTTTAAAGCAGCGCAACGAGCTCTCTGACCAACATATGTTTATGGCCTGCCCTCACCAAGACTTTACGCCAAAATTTACCTCGTTTTCTCTTAAAATCTTATCCCGCTTCGAATTTTCATCGCCGCTCTTTCAGAACTTCGATATCATCCAACCTTTTCGACGCCTTGCATACACGATGGACGGCAGCTACGACCTATCACCCGAGGATATCACCGCCGAATCCTGGCAAGAATTTGTTGATTGGGATGCCGCGAATCCAGTTGACATGGGCACAGAGTGAGTGGCTTAAAAAAAATGCTAACTCATAGAAAAAGGGCGGCTTCCTTTCACACCCCATCTGCTATCGGTCTATCAGAAGACAATGCTCGCTTAACGCACTATCTAATGTATGTACAAATTCCCCCTTGGCATACAATTTGGCTTTGCTCACAAATAATAGCCAATGTGGTTACGGAGCCGGGTACACATTACCCAACACAACCTGCGCTACTTGCTCATCAGAACTTGACACATCGGAACTTGCACTTTATACAAAAAACCAGGAAGTCTTTTGTACTAAAAGCAAGGCCCTCAATCATCCGCCACTATCCTGTGTGCAAGGCTGTGGGTCGAACTTCCATACATTGAAGGGTCTTGAGGAGCATTGCAGGACTGCCAATCATGAAGCTCTTCATTGTCCTATCCCAGGCTGCTTCGTTGCATTGAGTGGTTCTTACCAAGGTAAAGATCATCTGAAAAGATGCCATGGAGCAAAAAGACTCGCATGTCATCAGTGTGAAGACCTATTCGAGAATACGGTGAGGCTCGACAGTCATGCCCGTCGAAGCGGACATTCTGCATATATTTGTCGATATCCTGATTGTGAGTCGACAGCCGGGAGAATCAGTGACTTGATTCGGCACCAAGCATGCCACAAGAAAGATGCTCCCCGTCATCCATGTCCTCATTGCCGCACGTAAGTACTCTCGCATTCTTCAGGTACAAGATCATTAGAGTCGCTGACTGAACCACTTAGATATCGAGGCAATAACGGGTTCAAGAGGAAGGACCACCTTAGACAGCACATCAGAAATTACCACAAAATTGAGTCTAACTACATCGGTCCATTATCATCGTCTCCATTTCTCTGCGAAAATGACAATTGTCAGGACTATGCTAGGTATCGTATTCAAAATCTTAGATCTCTCGACGATCTCATCCAGCACATGCTGACCGAGCACAACTCCTCTGTATTTATCTGCGATAAAATGTCTTGCGATAGAGTAGGACTAAACGGCTTCGACACGAAAAAGCTTCTTCAAGATCATATCAAGAAAGAACACCCTTCACCATTTCAGTGCACTCATCCAGGGTGTGATCGGGTCGGTTCCAAAGGCTGGTTTCGAGAAAGAGACCAGAAGAAGCATATGTTTCAGAAGCACGGAATCAGTGTTTGAATATGACGATGACGGGATCGGCTTTATCTTGTTATTCTTAACAACCCTCGCATATTGACGGCTGTCTGGAAATAATTGTTTTTGATGTTCTTCTTCGTCTTGTTGTTTGATCTGTTACTCACTTGAGCCTCTCTCCGATGTTTCGTTTCTTATTTAATTCATCATATCTGAACTTGCGTTGCTCTTCCAATAAAACAATGCACAAAAAAAGAGGAGGACTTTCTGGCTTAGCAAAGGAAGGAGGGAGAAGAACCGGGGCATTTGAAGTGTTTCTCTTATTTCATTTCTTTCTGTTCTTCGTCTTTTATTATGGGTCTGTTATGTTACATTGTCTTTCGTCGTTGAGTTCTAGCCTATGAGATATTATATAGTGACCTTTACAATTACCACCGCTTTCCTTGATTGCTGGGCATCAAAGCCCTCTTCCACTGTATCATCTAATCACTCAGATTCATGCTGCACACCATTTTCAGAACCTTGCACTCACTCTTGTGACCCTGCTCATTCCACCCTTTAATTTGACATTCCTGTATTCGCAGTCAGCCCATCAACCACTCAAAGAGTCATTTTTTCAGAAGAAAAACATACCTTGCCACAATACCAAACTTCACTGCAACCTTTACATCTCGAAAGCTGCTCCTCACTATCTTTCCTCTCACATGATTGACATGTCACCAAAACCCCTCGGCTATCTTCCTCAAAACTTTCATGAGCTTTAATAAACCTCTCACTCATTCCTAACAGTTTATCCAAAGAGGATGGTATGATCTGCGATTCTTCATCAGCCTTGAATCAAGTCTCAAGAACGCAAAAATAACTCACAGTAAGATCAGCCCACACACACCTGATGTAACCCTGTTTTCCTTCTCTAACCCCATGCCTCCTCGGGTTCGGCACCACAACTGTGTGTCCTTTCTTCAATTTCTTGATATCAAAATCATTTCCATCTCCACTAATGTTCCCGTTTCCGCTTCCCTCCAATTGCGCAGGCGTCAATGGCGCCTCAAGAATAATCGTTAGCGCGAACGACGCGCTAGCAGAATCTGTACATATAAAAGTTGGTGTGGTGGAAAGCGTCATATTCTGGGAAATGGTTGCTAAAAGATATGTTTTTCGGGGGGTCCCGGGTGAAGTCTCATTAGGAGATGCAGTGGAGGAGGGATCGGCGGTGGGGTTGAGAGGACAGGTGGAGAACGTTAGGAAGGCGGGGGAGAGGAGGTTGGGGAAGTCGGGGGACATTTTGAGGAGAATTGATGTCGGGACGTGATTGTCGAATTGAATTCGTGAATAGTGAAGTTAGGATGCGAGGGAGTTTTCGAAATTGATGACAGCGAGACGACTAATGAGAATTTTGGGATGAAACACAACATGAAACGTGCTGATATGAAGGAGCTCAACCCTCAGATATTTTGGCAAGTCATTCGATTTTTCTTGTTCGATTGATTGAAGATCTGTTACAGATGCCCAATCTAATCACGGACACGAGAAGACTGGACGAATAGTATCTCGTATCAACGATGATTGAAAAGATCATTCTCTTCACATGCTAATCACGTGTAGTGCTGAAGATCGTTATCATGAAGTGGTGTGGATAGGTTTTGATTTGACATGCAAAGCAAGTCAAATCCAGTAAGTTGAGTTGTTCAATGTAACGGGGGGTGGTAGATCCCTCCCGTTTTACGACTGGGCGGGAAACATCTCTCCACCTTACTAATAGTATGGCCACTCATCATTCCACCACGGAGACTCACCGGTAATCACCAAATTTTCGGTGGAGCAGCGGATCGAGTCAGTCGTCATACATGCATAACCATGATATTGACAGTGTACGACCCAGTTCTGATATTTGAGAATCAATCCCACTCACGTTTCTACAATTTCAACGAACTTGTTTCCAAGAGCCAAAACCGAGATATCAACATGTCTGCGGATTCAATCACCTCTACCCGAAGCGGGATCCCTCCCATCCTCAAATGCCCACTCGAGATTAGGCTAATGATCTACCGAATCCTAATTCCTTCAATTGACCCTTCGGCAGACTTCGACTGGACATCGGCTTGGGATCCAAACCACCCGAAATCTCGCTGCGAAGAGCATAAACTCTACTCACCGCCGATCCTTCATACAAACCAAATGATCTATCGAGAAGTCTTGAACGAACTTTATTGTTTCCTACCTTATCGGACATCAATCAGCAACTATGGAATTCGATTCTTGGGCTACACATTCATAAAGCCGCCCCCAGCTTTTCAATATGTACACACCCTGGATCTCACGATTCAAATCAACAGCTACTCTCACTCAAAGATTGCCAACATCTTGAAATCTTGTGTGGAGACTAGCTGCGCAAACGGACACTTACGTCGATTACAAATTGGTCTCTCCTTTAGCTTGCAATGTTTTCAATCGAATAGGGGGAATTCTAGTGATCTTCGAAAAATGTTGGAGAAGAATCTGTATCCGCTACGAAGGAACCTTCGTCGCCTAAATCAATTCGTTGTCAGGAGAGTATCTGCCAAAGACATTTCAAGTTCCAATCGAAGTGTCTCGGGCTCGTTTCTGGTACAGAGAGAAGAGTTTTTGGATACCGTTCAAGGGTTTTTGAATCAGTTGGCAAGGGAGGTGATGGATCGGTGTAATCCTGCCAAGACAACTGAGTGCAACTGCAAGTCGTATGCTTTGCTTCAGAGATGAAGGGGGTGACGTGGACTATTTCGATAAAATTTCGTCTTGTTTCGCTTAGCATGGCAAACTTCTATCCGTACTGGAACTTTCAACCATCGGACAACTGTGAAGGATGAAAACACTGGGACCCTAAATATTGGATTCTTCTCCGCATCTCTACACGTACTATATTCCGGATCAGTTCTGTAGCATGCATTCCGACGAATCCCAACGCACGTCGTGTCTGAAAGATACAATTGTTTATTTCAATGGAGCGTACTTCCACACATCGAAAGCAATCGTATCTCAACCTACCTATGAGATATAAGCATTCTATGCTACGCGTACGCCTCGACTTGGTGGTAATGAGGGATGTCTCATCTTATTCACATAGATGCGAACAAAAAAGAAGTTTATAGGCAATACAATTTTGAAGCACCATCTTGATGTGTTTCGAAAAGGTCCGAGAGCGGTTGAAGGGTTTCGAGTTACGATAGATGAAGGACAATGGACGATGCATGCGGGGGGAACATTTAGTTGAATTGAGTTTGAAACAAATTTTCTTTCGGAGAGCTTATCAGATAGAATAGATAGAAAGTTTCAATAGATTGTCTAGTATTTTGTGTTAGTTATATTCTGAATTTTTCCAAGCTTTACAACATTGAATTTCAAGCATAAATGTCCGGGCAATCCACGTGATATATAAAAAAAGCCACGCTCGAAGGCCACACCACCTCTCGTCCTGCTGGTATCAACAATTAGCCTGATCCAAGCTCTTCTCTGATCAAACAATGCCATTGCTCTTTCAAGGATGCAGACTTCGTGTTTTTTCGGAATAGCCCGACCGTTGAGATCTATCTACGAAATCTGTGGAAACTTCTACAGAATAAATTCATCCGCACGGTGCTCGGTGTTTCTAGTGAGACGACGTTTGATCCTTACGTCAAACCATAGCCTCTTTTACGCGCTTTAGATGTCAGCAATCACTTCAAGTATCGTTTGTACCCATGACTATAAGTTTATGTCGGTCACAGCGGGGTTAACGAGAGGCAGAAACGTCCTCATAAAATGGGATACCTTTTATCCATGAAGGTTACAATTGCTTCACATTTGCTCTAGCGTTTAGACCTTCAATTGGCCGTCTGACCAATCCACCCCTGTTTGAATGTTTGACTGCATCTAGACTGCGCAATACGTATAGATGATGTGGAACACCCCTCGTTGAAAAATTGTCCCCCAAGCGTCTGTTGTTACCACACATAAAGACAGTGTTATCCCGTCAAAAGTGACGATGGCTTCCCCGTTTCCCTATCTCGTTTGGCGACATTTGCGGTACAGATGCATTCCCTTCTTTATGCTAACATATGCATTAGCATCTTACTGTCATGCACTAATGGTATGTTTATCTGCATCGACACTCACTTTCATTTCTCTCTGACTAACGCTTCTATAGCATTAATATTTCCCAATGTAAACACTCGTGGGTACAATAGCACGAGATCCAATGACACAATATCTAATGTCACGAGATCTAGCAACAGCCTCAGAATTGTAAGCCCCCTGTTTAGGATCCTGATCATGGTGCAGACGATTTCGACTCGAGTCTTTGATTTCTTTGTCTCTAATCACTACGCATGCTGACTATCGAAGCAACCTCTCGGTAACTCGATAACCTATGGCTTTTTATCTAGCGATGGGAATGGCTTTCGCCTTGGCCTTCGCAATTTACTCACATCTGCTGGAAACACCGTTCAATATGTGGGCTCGGTCCGAGCAGGCAACATGAGTGACAATTTCAATGAGGGTCATCCAGGGGCAATTATTTCCGAAATTGCCGAATATGCGAAGTTATCTCTTCCCGAGGATCCAAATCTGGTCTTGCTTATGGCGGGTACGAACGACATGAACAATTTTGACAATATCACCACAGCTCCAGATCGACTCAGTGGACTCATCGATGAGATTACTTCTGCAGTCCCGAATGTTACTCTTATAGTTGCTCAGCTTACCCCCGCTTCAAACACTACCGTAGATGCCGCGATGGTTGATTTCAATTCTAAGATACCAGATATCGTTGCATCTAAGGTTTCCGCTGGTCAAAAGGTGTCCACAGTCAACATGATGGACTATGTCACTGTGAATGACTTGGTAGACGGACTTCATCCAACAGATTATGGATATCAGCAAATGGCGAAAGCATGGTTCGCTGGAATTCAGCAAGTACAGAAGAATGGGTGGATAGATTCTCCAATTTCCACCAACGTCACGTTGGCTCTTCAAACGGCGGTTGCAGCTAGTACAGGTACAAATACTGTCAGCGGTTTCAGCGCAAGCTCCACCAGTACCCAAACCACCAGTACAACTATGGGCATCAGCAGTAGCACAACCTCTTCCAAATCAGCTTCCGAACGAAGTTTTCATAACCCTTCGATTAGTACCGTATATCTTTTAGTTTTGGCCAGCTACGTTTTGTACGCCTAAATACCTTGAATAGTTACTTTAATGTCGAGGCGCTTCCCCTAACTTGGGTCAACTTTAGAAGACAACATTCAGGGATTGTTTTCAGCCACTTCATAATTTCTCACATTCTCATGAGCATTGGACACAGTCAGGAATTACAAATCCTGCTCAGCTTTTCACGAAGAGGTGACTTGGTATAGGTACAGCAGCTAATGAGGTTTTGGCTCAAGGGAAATGGCCAAAGACACGCTCAGGGGTATAATCGAAAGCTCGATCATGAATAGCGCACGGCAGAGAAAGATCAGCTAGACTTAGTGGGAGATAGCCAGGCGCAAGAATCTTTGTATATACAAGTATTAATTAATTGATAATTTCTTCCCTTCTGAGTTTGCTTATTTTAACTCGAGGAGTTGTGTATGGGTTACGGTTTTCCGGAGTGGAGTGTTCTGAGAAACGTTTTCAGGCTCATTATAAAAAGGTCAGGAGGGGAGTGATATTTCAAGTACATATGCTCAAGGAGTCCCAGGTATGAAGATAGCTGAGCGTTTCTTATAGAATACATGTTTGTACAGCTCCCAGTACTATGAAGTGTAGTTCGTGGACGATAGGTTCTCAATCTCCAGATGAATTTTACTTGATAAATCGATTTCGAGCCTGGAAACTAAATAATAATTATCTCTACTTGAGACGAGATATTGCTTGAACTAAATTAAATTCTCATAACACCGAAAACCCATCAGACAGGGTTACAACCTGGGCTATCAAGAATCATGTGTGAATATCTCCTCATTTTATGATCAATCATGATTCGAACACCCAGACGAGCACGAGTGAGGTGCAGCCAGAGAAATTGGATCAATCCCTCCATCTTTGCCAAAAGCTGCAGAATATTCTCAAAGGTATAATCATCAAAACCTATTTTTTCTCGGCTCTGACTGCAGCTTCAGCTAAAGCTTTTATCCGTCTCTCTTCTACTTCTCGCACTGCCTGCTCATGGAACTGAATTTTCATATCTGCCACAACTCCCTCTTCATCAAGCTTCTCTAGCTCATCTGTATTGTGCGCCTCTATCCATGCTTCCATCATATCGTTTTCGATTTTCTTGATCGCATCTGCGTTTTGCTTCTCCGCGAGTTCAATCTCGAGTGCTCCTTCATCTAGATTCCTCAGTCGGTTCTCATCAAATGTATGCTGTAAAATCTCTTCTCCCGCCCAGTCGGGCAATTTTCTGTACATTAAACCTACTCTATCCTCATAAGCATCTTTAAGCTTGAGATAAAGCTCTCCGGATAGTGGTCTTTCATCGATTTCGGCTGTTAGCGTTCCTCTGAGCATTTGGTCCAGATCCTCACTCAGATGACTCTCAATCGGATGAATATCCAGCAATTCCCCTCTCTCCTTATCAAGAGTCCCAAGAATCACGCCAGTACGAGCTAACTCATACACCACCGCCGTCAACCACCAAACCTCCCCCTTCTTTTTCCGATCGTGCGGTTCCCATTCTTCATCCTCCGAATTAGGCTCATCATATTCCTCCAGATTGGGAATATGACCCCCTGGAGGCTCTGTGAACGCGACCCCAAAATCCCCAATCTTCACGTGGGGGTATCCATTTTCTCTGTCCGGTCCCCATTGCAGAAATACATTCCCAGATTGCATATCATTTTGAAAAATCACATCGCGTCCCTGATGTTCACTCGTCGTATTATAATCCGGATGTTCATTATGCAGAAACGCAACTGCGCTAACCAATTCATAAAAGACCTGCCAGATGAGTAACTCCGGTGGTTTAACATGATGAGTGCGAAATGCTTTCGCCAAGTTCGTTAAGCTACCAGCATCGCAATATTCGAAATAGAGCCCATGACAGGTTTGTCATAACCGTATTCAGGTACGTATTGAACAAATGCTTCGAGATTGCATATGTGCGGATGTCCACCTCTGATGAAGCGGAGATAGATTCGCGTTTCTGAATCTCGCTTAGCGCGGAGACTTAGTCTTTCCACCGATTGAGAAGAGCTCTTGGTGGCTTCGCTGCTGGGCGTGAGAGGTGGTATAAGAGCACCCTCTGGAAACTCCAATTCGAATTTGCCCAGGTTCCACTGGAGCTTCAAGGCGTAGGGCTTTTTCGTTTCTGAATTAATGACCTTTAGAACAACACCAAATCCACCGCTTGCAACGTGCCCTTCGAATTCGTGATTATCACGATTAAAACCAGGGTCGGCTCTCCATTTATTGCGGCGAATAGTTATATTTTTCTTCCGGAGGGCTTTAATGTATATCACTGCAGCTGTGTCAAATGCAAGTGCTTGAGGTTGTGACATTATGTTTCTGTGTCTAGTTAATACATTCTAAGGGTCAACATCATTCGGCGAAGTGGAAGCTCAGGAAATAGTTTTCGAAGTATCAATGTGACAAGGGTCTTTAACATCAAAGAGAAGTCGGCTTTCCCGAAACAGAGTCCTTTGTCCTAGAAGCTGAGCTTGTATGGAGATTGAAACGACACAATAATAACCAAGGTATACTGTAACTATTATGCACATTGTACATAAAGGCTTTGAAGCACGGAGCCACCGTTTAAAGATTCGAGGAAAGAGAGATCTTGCATTTGACACGCTAAGCAAATTTCCAACACTCTAGCTATTAAAAGCCGTCCCGCGGCTGTATTGGTGACCTATTCACGTTCCGAATCGGAAAATCTGGATTGAAATTATTCTGTCCTGGTATCTCCCGTCCTGTCATTTCCCCTTCTCTGCAACCAGCGCCAAGCCATGAATGTTACCAGGAAGAAGCACACTAGTACCGCTAGATTGTAAGGGCTTTTGAGATCGGCTTCTTCTAGTCACAGACTCTCTTTATCCCCAATTGGTGGAATTCTACCAACGAGGTACTGTTCAAGATCCTCAATCTCCGATACATCGGCTGAATGCTCGAGACCTCTTTGAAGGAGTTAGCATAAAACCTTGTGAAAGAACGAATCTTAGAGATGCACATACGGATACATCACCAACTCAACATCATAGCCGTCATCACGTAGCACCTCTGCCGTCTTGATACCCCAATCTGGTTTAACGAGAGGATCAGAATCTCCGTGGCCCATCCAGATCTTGGTCTGCTTGTTGGAGCCTCCATCTGGGCCCAAAATTTCTCGAAGCTTGTTACGTAGTAACAGATAACAACTCATACCAAAGATACCTCCGAGTTGTGTTGGACATGTAATGCCGGAGAAAATAGACATTGCGCCTCCTTGGGAGAAACCGCCGAGCACAATGCGGTTGGATGGAATCTTGCTATCTTCTATTTCGGATTTGATGAGCGAGTGGAAGTAAGCCTGGGAGCGTCGAATTCCAGCTTCATCTTGCTCAGCCTGGAGGTCACTAAAGGTTGTCTTCATCAAAAGTGGTCAGCGAAATCCTTCTGCAAAACAAAGATGAAGTATAAATGCAAAGACGAACGGAATTAGTGCGTCTTACGATATCATACCAACCTGGCATGGTCATGCCAAAGTTCTGAATGATTTATTAGCTTGAATATTTCTTTGAAGATGGTCGGCTGATCATACGACTGAGATGGGGATAGTAGGCGCATTTGGAAATATGAATTTGACTTCTTGAAACTTTTGGCGACGACGCCAGTTCTCTGCGAGCGAAACCCATCCAGCACCACTATCACCAAGACCATGAGCCATGATGACAGTTGCAGTGTGCTTCGTGACTGCGGGGATAGTGAGAGCTGATGGTGGAGGCATTTTATGAATTGTGACCGTTGCAGATCTTGTATGGAAGGAAGTATTTAAAATATCAAGAGGTACACAAAGATGTGCTTCTATGTTTTTTTTAGATCTGCAAATAGAAAAAGTTAGAGAGGAGATTAGTTCAGATTGTTTGTGTTTAGCAATTAAAGTAAGTCTCCGAGCTCTGCTCTCCCCGCCTTATCGCGCTAAAATTATTAAGTCAATAGTGGTGCACGGATTCCTGAAACTCTTCTAAGATTTGAATGGGAAAAATCACAATTAAATCGAATATCATTTGATTTCCATAAAAACCTACAATATAATTGCATGATTGAAAATAGGTGTCTCTACGAAGTCTCGAAGCTTTTGAAGCAATTGCGCAAAAGCTTTCCTCAAATTCAAGATTTTCATCCTCTCATGAACCCCTGCACCCACTGTTGAGCAAATCCTTGCATGTCTCTTATCTTGAATATTAATACTCGGTAGGTATCTTTATCAAAAACTATCCTGTTTTATTGGTTGTCAACACGCGCATAACTTCTAAAACATTATGTTGATAATATTTTGAATTGTTGAAAGTTCTATTGTGCGGCTTCGATATTTTGTAGGCCTCTCATAATACTTGGATGTGCCAGAGCTTCCAACTATTCCCTTCGAGCTTCACTTCGAATTTGTAAACAAAGCGGATATAATCATGGCACCACCGACATCTCGACCACGATCCCCCTCGCAACGTCCCCTCCCCGGATCTCCAACTTATTCATATGCTTCCACACTTCCCCTCGCATCCACATTTTCCCTTGCGCTTCCACCTCCACCAGTTCCTCATCCACCCCACGCCGTCCTTACGAAAGCCGACCTAGAACTTTCCCAAATCGCCTATTCCGAACTCATTAGCACCGCCAAAAGCTATCGACTAGCACTCGCAGAGCTAAGCTCTTCTGCATCCGCTTTTGGTAGTGCTTTAGAAGCATGTGCACGATTAAAAGAAGCAAGATCCGAAGCCTTGGCCCCCCTGGTGGCAGTCTCAGCAACAGTTTTACTGCAAAAGGGAATTGTACTGGAGATAACCTGATGTCTGCTAGTGGGGTACACCAGTTGATAGCGAACCATCAGCAGATCCTTTCGGAATGTGTATACCGGTCATTCGAGGTGCCTTTGCTGCATGAACTAGATAATTGGGGTAGGCAAATAGAGGAAGAGGAGGTCTCATATCGAAAGGAAGTGAAGAACAGGAGCAAAGAAATACAGAAAATGGAGAAGGAAGGGCTAAAACTACACAAGCAGAGGAAGCGAGACGTGCGGGGGTTCCGAGGGCATCTGGTGGAATTGACTACAAGACTTGATGGTCTTACAACACTACACGGTGAACATTCAAGAGCATTATTGAGAGATTGTCAAGATGTGAGCACCAAGGTAGTCGAAGCTAGTTCATCTCTCGTCCGGGCAGAGGTGGAGATATTTGAAGCCCTTGCACGAAAAGGTTGGACAGGAGGTGGTCTCGAAGATCTACTCGAACACGGTCAAGATCTCTTCTCATCGGAACCCCCTTCTACGAACACAGACTCGAATGGTAGCCCATCTAAGATTTTCAGCATTCTGCCACAAAAATCAATCCTTGTAGATGCCACGCAGCCCGCTACCGATGCGCCCCATAAAAAGGTTAACCACAAGCGTAGCGATAGTCTCCTTGTTGACAACAATCATTACCAGTCACTAGCTGCAGTCGCAGATCGTGATATAGATAGCGGATCAATATTCTCCGAGCGAGACACCAGGATTCTGAACCGCTCCCGAGGTGTAAGGCCCTTTAGTCCAGAACCCGTCGAAAGAAGCCTAGATCCACTTGAGTTGCCTCCGCCTAGTCAGATTCCCAGCCAACTTCCATCTCCCAGAGAGGAATATAGTGAGAGATCCAGATTCGAGGCTTTCGGCTCTGTCACACCCGAGATCTTTAAAGACGAGACTATCCTTGATTCTCAGGTTCCGTCACCAATTTCCTCGCCGGAAATATTCGCAGAAACGGAGACGGGGACGCAGGCACCCACAGATACTCGAGCAGAGATGGCACATGAGACCAGCAGTATGCACTCAGAGGGTACGATCCGCGGAGACGAGCGCATTTCATCACCAGAAATCGAGTCTGAGAATGACGAAGACAGAAGAGAGCGAGAATGGAACGATAGATTTTATGTTTAAATGTTTAGCACGTGGATTATAACCTCAAGCGTACTAATACCCCTCTAGACCAATTGTTATTTTTTTCTCTTTCCAACATGCGTATACGGCTATATGGGTATCGGGGTATTCGGTTTCGGTTTGGGATCTGGGAAGGAGTTATATAAAAATTGTGTATGAGACGATTTGGAGGTATGCTGACAAGTTTAACAAGAATAAAGTAGAAAGGAAGAGCTGTGAGTAGTAGTTTCATATTTGATGATTGACAGAATGACAAAATAAACTTTCATGCTATATTCGCTGGGAAAAGTCTCGCGCCAAAACTCCTTTCCCGCAGTCACCCCATCATCCATACCCAGTTGGTTGGCCGGTCATTTATTACATTTCTGTGCCATCTACGCTCTTCGTCTGTGGTTTTTCGCGCAATCTCGGGTATAGTCTCAAAGCTTCTCCAAAACAACCTAGTATGCTTCGTCTTCCAAGATGTCACTCCACACAATCCGTTTCTCCATTAAAAGCTCTCCATATAATCAACTCTAATCATCTTTCTCCCCTCCCACAACTCCAAATATCCCGAGGTATGTGTCGAACCAGTAGATCATCCTCCAATAAAGACTCGCTTTTGCCCAATCGAATTCACCCGTCTCTGTCCTTGGCACTGTGTCTCCTATGATATCCGCACTGAACCAATTTAATAATGGAATATTGGATAGAACTTGCTGCGTGTAGGACTTTTGAGGGAGTAGGGCCTGATCGGCAGGAAGAAGTTGCAGTCGTTGAGCCGTTGGAATTTTGCGACAGTAAAGGGATGGTGCTTCGGGAGTGGCAGAACCTGCAGAAGACGGCCGTTGTTGAAGGGCAAGGTTACCACCTGTGACTGTAGATGTCGTTAATGTAGTAGTATCAATTGTATGACTGGTAGCTTGAGAGCCTTCGGGAGATTGAGCGCGATCTTCAAAGTGTACGTTTCGACTAATTTGCGACATTTCAGGAGTAGTCCAGGAACGGGGGAGACCGGATTGTTGAAGTGGACGTTCGGCGCCCGGAAGGAATGGTCCAGGATCGAAGCGGTGTCTATTAGAATTAAGACGAGATGATCTTTCTGATGTTACTGTAGAAACTCCTAGTTCATCTTTTGCTGGTGGCGCACCGCGATAGAGTTCAGCGTGAACAAAATAACCAAGTACTGCTTGTGGTGAAGCTTCTATCGCTGCATCTGCTGCTTCCGCGGATTCGAACGTAATTTTGATCCAGTGCTTCCCGCCAGCATATTTCAAAGCTTTTGATTTTTCTTCTATAGTCATCGGCCGTCTTCGCAGAACAACAGGATCTCGGAGGTCGGTTTTGTATCGTCGTTGATCTAGAGGTGCATCGCGAGGATAATCCTCACATATGTGGCCAGCAATTCTTTCATATTCCGCAATAGCTGCCCATTGATGTTCTGGCGTGAAACCTCGTAGTATAACCTCTGTAGGCTCCTTGTGTACAAATCTCGAAGATTGGCCCGCATTCCCATCGATAGCTACTAAAGCATTGTTGTCTCGAATATTGGTTTGCGATAATGAAGACGGTATCGAAGATTTGCGCTGAGATGGTCCCGAGTCTGATGTCGCCGCAGCTCTCCTTGCAAAAGTCGCAGCAAAGATTGCATCTGCAGCTGCCAAGGTTGGGTCCTCCTTTTTCAAAGCTGGTGTGCCAGTTCTTGATCGAGATCGTCTTGTCGATTTACCAAAGGATCCTGTCTCTGGAACAGTTCTTCTAACTCTTGCCGCGGCGGGATTTCCATCATTTCTATTCGAATCAGATTGATAACCTTCCATTGTATAGACGCGGAAAAGCTTACCCAGGAAATAGCATAGCATATGGTCTTTTAATACCATCTTCACCTATATAACACTCCTCCTCTGGAACATTGTGTAATATTAATGGCGGCATTATGTAATTTCTAAAGCAAGGGAGAAGAATGTGATGTGTCTTAAAAATAGACTGGTATTTTCTGGAATGCGTGAGGAGATAGATTTGTGGTGTTCTCGAATTCTTAGGATTTTAAAGTCTCACGTCTTCTACGCGACAAATCAGAAGTTCTCGTTGCTATGGTACAAAACACAAAATTTACTGCGTAGAAATGGCAGGGATCAAGGATTCACCAAGGATTTATTTTTGATATAGCATGGTACGGAGGGGAAAGCCACACAAGGTCAAAACGGTCAACGTCATCTTAACTTTCAAAGCTTCACGATTTCGACGACGTTAAACAACAGCATCTGAAAACGTTTACAATAATACCAATCAACATAATAATACATATCAGTCAAAATGTTTCGATTCGTAAGTACAACAAAAGCTTTTATGGACCTCAATTCTTGATAGCAGATTATTATTACTAGGCATTTACTGACACGATTACTTCATAGCATAAAACTCTCGATGTCATTACTCTCTTTCACAAGGCAAGCTCTCCAGCTTCAGTAAGAGTTCATACTCTTTTGAAGCAAGCCTCTGCCAATGCTGCTGAATCCGCGACGGAGGATCAAGCTAGCGACCACTCTGCCCAGACCAACCCAAAGAGACAAGAGTTCGAATTGGAAGTCACTGAATCTGCACCTACTCCAGATCAGCTCAAGAGTATTCTGGAATATGTTGGTGTATCAAAGGTTGGCAGTATTGTTACAGGTGCAAAGGATGAAGCAGATGCCGTAAGGAAGATCAAAGCCAATGAAGATAGCTTCCAAAGACCTCTGGTATGTTCCTCGCCGTAGAATGTATCTTACGGAATGATCTTTTGACTAACATTTTAACAGACTGTAGATTGGAGCAATGGGAAAGCTGTTGTCGGAGATAGTAAATCTGAGATATTGACGATGCTCAATGCTCTTTCCAAAAATTAGACTTTGCATTATTTGCGCTGTACATCATCTCAAAAGTTTACAATACCAATTTCACAATATCAATTTGTTTAATCGCATCAACTACCTACTGAAGTTATCCCGCGTAACTGGACAATGTGACATATGGGAGTGAATAGATGGTTTTGAACCGGGCAGAAAAAGAGGTCTACTTATGTTTAATGGGATACAATGATTTGAAAGGGTTTATTAAATATTAAAACTTGGGATAGCAGTTGTATACCTAGGTGTTCAAGAAGTATGTTCCCTCAGTACTTGTTCCTCATTCCATGCAGTTCACCACGTACAGTTTCAAGTAAAGCATTCTTCGAATGGAGCTTTCGCTTCTCGTGTTTGACTCCAGTATAGGGAGGATGGAAGTCTGCAACATTGAAAGGACGAAAGAACGAAAGGACGAGACCCTCATTGCTAGAGTTTTCATGATGTGCGATCTGGCTCCTTCCTTTAACTCAGTTTGAACAGATAGGTAGGTACGATACAATAAAGCTGGCCTCGAAATATGCTAATGATAGCTAGATAATGAAGTATAAAATGCAAGCTCCAATAAAATTACCTATATCATTCACTTTAATCACCTGGGCACTCGTCATGAAGTTTTACTAGCAGTACTAGGTAGTACTTGTCATTCTTAGCGTTATCAGGAGGTGAATTAGTACGGTAAGGACTTTCTACTTTATCTCTCACAAAAACAATTCTCTTCTTCCTTTAAAAAAACAGTCAACCTTTCTCTTCAAGTCTTTTCAGCTTCTATTCTAATAAACCTTTCGGAAGGCCCTCTTCATACCTTGCACTTTTAATAACTCCCATCATAAACCTTTCTATTCCATCATTTCTTTACGAATACAATCTTTGCACTGCCGCGATCAATTCTCTCTCGTTGCATTCTCTTGTAGCATCAAACGAGTCAATTATTGTCGCATTGAGCTTCAAACTTTCATACAAGTTGCGTTGCTATTGCTGGCAATAGCAATTAACACAAAACAAGGCACATCAGGAATTCCATAATAATTTCACAATAATTCTATAATTGCTTGGGGAGAGCTCTCGCCGACATTACTGGCAAACATTCCCGACTTTTCATTTCTGAACTCAATTGGAACATTCAAAAAAACAATACAACTCCTCACTTCACGGCTCTACGAAGAGAATCTACCTACACCTACAGAGTCCTGTTTCCAATCTTCGAACCAATATCAACAATTGACACCCCCACATTTTCTACAATATCGCGGAACAATGAGTCGTCCACCTCCATATTACGTCCCGATACATTTGATGGAGAATTTTCGAGCTCCTCAAGTCCCTCAACCCACGGAAAGCAATGCTGAGAGATGGAACGTTCGAAATCTCCCTGATATGCCTGCATGGATCTCCACTGATCGTGGCCGCTTTCCAAAACGAGAATCTGCAGCTATGGGAATCCCCTGCATTGTGCACTGTGACGTAGTGGCTGATGCCAAGGCCAAAGCTGCCAGCTTGTTTGAAATATATCCAGACATTGTTAGCTATGTTAGCAAGCCTACCAACTGGGATGACCTGTACTTTCTTTGGGATGCAGCCGATATACAATTGGAGAGCCCTGGCTTCCTCTATTATGTCATGTTTTTCATTGGGGAGGAAAATGAGCGACGCAAACCAGAAATACAGAAGGAGATAAACGACGAAATTAATGAACATGCCGAAGCATGGGTCACAGATCATAGAGATTTGGTCTTGAACTCTGCTGCGGGTAGCATGTACCAGCATTTCTGCCAGGATGAACCTGAGGAAGTTGCTCCAGAGTTAAAGTCAACGCTCGAAGCAGCTTTGGAGAATTGTCGTTTGCGCCTGATACAAGCCACGACGGTTACTAATTCAGTCTCTTCTCATGAACCCTATCACCTGTTGAATCCTCAAGTTACCGGCGCTTCGAGTGTCAGAGCTGTCTCAGGCAATGGGACTCGTCATGTTCATGCCGGAAAGCAAGTCAATAGACCAGCAATTGCTCCTATGACAGGAAAAGCAGGAGGAATAAATCTTGGATCGCATTGTTTCAGTTCCATGCAACCCCAATCAAAGTCTAGCTTCCACACCAATAGTACTGCTAGTATGCCGTTAAATCCAACAGCTCAAAACAAATTGAAATCTGCGAATCGAGGTGAAGCTGCCGCAGGGATGACGTCGACTTATCCTCACCAACAACCACAAAATTACGATCGCTCCATAAAGGATCAGCGCAGTATGGGCAACAAGATTAATGCTACGACTAGCCTGAATGCTTCCCCAACTCGTTCTGAGAGCCACCAAAAGCAGAGTGGACTTCGCAACAAATCTAGGCATCGTGGAAATTCGATTGAGACTCATCAAAATAGAAGACATAATTGGACCGGGCCTCATGGAACCCAGCCACACAAGTTAATGCATCCATCGCAGAACAATCAACAACATAACATGTTCAATGGCACGCGAGGAAGCCCTTCTCGAGTTCTTCAGCCCGAGCCTATTTACTTCCATAAAGAGCACGCTCCCCTCCCCTTTACTGACAATTTCAACCGTCGCATGGACAAAGATAATTCGGTTAATTCTCGTATGGAACTTCCTAATGATGTTCGAAATCTGAAGAAACTTGAAAATTTTAAAATCAGTCAATCACTTGCCAACTTAGGTGAAATGGAAGGAGATCCGAAGCTGTATAAAACAGATGACTTCTGTCTGTATACCTATGACAATTCTGCTCCAAGATGCACCTCTGGCCGGACTCTATACATGACGGGTGCAGATTTGAAGATGTTTTACACTCATGAGTTGAAAAATCTAATGTCCCAAGTCGGAAAAGTGGTGTCAATCAAATTTTTACTCAGGCCCAATAACAATGGTCCGATTTTCATAACGTGAGCTTACACACTGACCTAAATAATGCAATAAAGCTAATTGTCATGATAGATTCGATGCCGATGTCTTAGCCATGGCAATTGAGAAATTTGATGGTTACAAGATGTCAAATGGGCGTGTACTAACAGCGGGATATCCACTTGAAAACTCAAGAGAGCGATCGGGTAGTAACTCCAGCTACCACAGTTACCATGGAGATAATCAAAACCGCTACATGTTTAATCCTGCCGCCGAAAATCGAGCCTGGTCAAGAAAAAACTCAATATCTCAACATCGACCCTCGAAATCCCAGAGTGGCCAAAACCAATTTCGTTATCAAAATGGCAATCATATGGCCCCAGGAAATGCCTCTGATCCCTTTCCATATACACCAGATTCCCAGTCTATCCCTCCCTATCCTTTGACACAAGCACCACTTCAACAAATTCCAGGACATGGACTAAGTGCGGCTTTCACAGAAGTTATTCAACATGAAAGAGGAGTAGGAGCATATTTCCAACAACAAATGCCTCGTGCAGTATTAAACAATAGAACAAATACTGCCGGTACAGCCCCATATCGATCATATAATGGAGCCCAGGCAGACCGTCATCGTAACGGCACAAGACCTGGAATTGATCACAACATGGCAAATTTGCCCAACCGCCCAGTCGACAAAAAAGAGAATTCGCCAATCAAGAAAACGTAAGTCAATATATACTGCGGAGGATTTTGTCATTTTACAAATCGCTGACATTCAATAAGCTTTTCACAATCTAGGCCTAGTGGAAAGGATTCAACTGACAGTTCGGGCAGTCGACACAAGAAGACAGTTGACCAAGATATGTGAGTCTTTTTGTTCAGTTGAAAATTAAAACTGGTTTTGAGCGTCGCACTAATATACAGATAGGCCATCCAATACAATCCCGATTGTAACTCCCGTCAGATCGACATCTCATATTCAATTGGACGATCAATACGCGTTGGCCTCACCAAAGGCTTCGCCAATCGAGGAACTGACAAGCTCTACAACAGGCCAATCTTTAACTACTGGGGCAAAAGTAGAGACCATGGCTGATATGAAGATGGAGAACGATGAACAGATACCGGTTGAGATTTTCGAATCAACAGGCCCTGTCGAGAGCTCCTTGCCAGAGCCATTGGGCGAAACAGTAGCTGCAATTGACTCGGAATCAATGTCACAAGGAAAGGCGAAGAATTCCAAGAAGAACAAGAAGCAATTCAAATCCAATAACAAAGCCGAGATCGATAAGGAAAACAACATTAGCGTGATCCCTGCCATGCTTTCGCCAACTGAATCGACAATTACAAATCCATCACTTGGCGGCGAGGATACACTGTTCAGTGGAGACTCTACCCGGAAACCAAGTATTTCTTCGACTGAATCTTTATCTAATGATGCTTCGAAAGACTCTATTCTCCAACAAGCTACTCGAGATGGGACCGATATTTCAGTAGACAGCGAACGAACAACTGGAAAATCCTTAGACAAAGAAGTCAGATCTGAAACCATCTCGACACCAAGAGTCACTACGGCTTCAATTACACCCAACGTACCTCTCGCAAAGTCTAACCACAAGAAGTCAAAGGCTCACGGTTCTACCAAGGATTTCAAGAAACAGACCCAGTCGAATTGTCCAGGCAATAACAATGTTTCTTCAACCACCAATACTGTATCTGTCCGTAAGACCGAGCCCAAGACAGTTAAACACCAAGGCAAGATCTCTAAAGATTGTGGTTCTGAATTTTTGGGGCAACAAGAACAATCAAAGACGGATTTGAAAAACAAGAAGAAGCGAAGCTTCCCTGAGGTCAATCAGGAGAAGATAAAGCCTTCGGTCTCAGTTGACCCCACAAACTCATCTGAATGGCCCGCTCTAGCTCCTTCCAAGTCTTCCCCTTCAAGTATTGCTGATGGAAAGCCGCCACAATTACCTGCTCTACCAGCTTTGAATAATCGCAGAACTAAGGAAGTAATATTACCGGCATTGCCACTCAAGCCGCATAGACAATCGTAAGAATTTCAAACCTAATATCCATTCGCCATGCGAGCTGATTCCGTGTAGGGGTTATACGCTAGGGAGCAAGGCTTGGCCGTTCGTAAGAAAATGCAAACGAAAGGTCTCACCAGAAGGTGGCGATGGATGATCAAGGTAGCATTGCTTTTGATGGCAGATTATGTCAATATTTGTATCTACTGGTATCCACTTATAAGATATCATCGATAGACGGGGTTGGAGATGAGAGTGATTTACTCAGAGTATAATTGTTTCACATCATTAGTAGTCACAAATTGATAACATTGAATACTCAAGAAGTTGGTGGTTACCTCTCTTCACGTGAATTTATTCCTCGACGTTCAGGATAAGAGCTCCTTTTTGATGTCTGCTTCTAGATTATGATCATTGCTGTTGTGTATCCACTCTTAAGATTAATGAGATGGTTTGCAGTAAAATGCAATCATGATTTTTTGGGGGTATGATTGCTTTTGATTCTTTATCTATGACTTCAAATGGTAGGCTCAGAGCCGAGATATCTTTCAGATAGGGATCTAATAAGATGACCGATATTTCAAATTCCGCTGTTATGTGGGATCACATCACAGTCATTTTTGTTTGTCATCGGCTATTCTAATAATGCATTATGTATATCTTGATTTCCTGAAATTGTGAACCATAGTTTTGGTACATCATCCGATCAAAAATAATACTAAACAAGATCCGATTGCAATATCCTGTGCTTGGTGTAATGGGAAAGAAGTGTAGTTTGGTTGGCCGTATCATGCCGCGTTGTGTGTTTTTTGATGTGATTGGTATGGTTGGTTTGGAACTTGAATTTAGGAGGATATTGGCAGTGTTTTTTTATGGGTTTTCGATGAATTTGGTAGTTTGTATAGATTGTTGGTATATTAATGTGAGTTTGTTGAAGGACCAATGCTCTTCACATTCCAGAATTTCAATTTTGCTGCTCGATATACTTTGTATGTCGTTGAATGGCAGAGTGTGATTAGATATCTATAGTTGGTCAATTCGTTTCTCTAGAGGAGAGACTCCATGTATGATCCTACGTGTCTGCTGCCCCTGGGCTACTTGGACTTTGAATAGAATTACGCGAGGTTTCGTTATCGTATTTGGATCATAGCCTCTGACCCTCGCTTCATTTGGTTGACCGTATTTGGAGAGCGTCATTTTCAGGATGTAGATGTACGGTTCTTTCACCATTGATTTTTCTGATTCAAAATCGGTTTATGAAATTCACTGTATGTATCTACTTTTCTTGGTAGGTACGTGCCTACCTGTGTTGGTATTCTAGACTTGGCCTGCAAAATTCACTCAGGATTTCCACTTTGGCAGTACCTAAACCTTCGGCCTTTAAGGACAAAGGTCAGGTTTGGTCTCGTATCTCGTTTCGGTTTGCTAGACCCTCCGCCTCGAATCTCTGTGACAGTTCTTGAAAAAATATGGCACCCAATCTCTAGAAACCTCTAACACACTCTATCCATTCTGGATTCCCCTACGGTTTCTCTGATACGTCTTTATTTTATCCTAGAATCTAAATATATATCTGGCACATCGAGATTTCATCTAGTATTTATCACTACTGAGTCTCACAATTTCCGTACTCGGCACGAAACACTCGTTACTTTCAAGACGTACTCGACAGCCAGTGGTTCTTTGAACTCATTCTTCGATACTTCGTTAGTTGCTTCTCATCTCCACAAATTGCCACATAAGCTTTTGTACTTATCATTTTATTAATGATAGAGCAACAAATTTTCTACCCATCATATCATCAACAGAAATATCATAGAGCTTCTTTTTATCACTTAGCCAACGATAACACCACAGAACTTCGACCAATCATCTCATCAGGGAGACTACCTGACTGTAACTAGATTTCCAAACCGATTCGAACAAACGCCATCGATCACTACCTATCACCAGCAATCATCATGGCAGATAGTAATACAAACGACGATTTGCCGCACCTTATTATGGGCTTTACAGCACTAGAGCACCGCAAAACCAACATGAAAAAGATCCTTAGTTTTTTGCACGAAAGGAACCACTCGAGATATAATAAAAGTCAGTTGTTACGTCGACTTTATGAGGTCGAGAGCGGCGGGCACGTTTCACATGCAAGGCAACAAGCTATTGATCTTTGGCTACGAAGAGGGGCCATAGGTCACATCAACGTTTATTATGATCAGAACGACCCATCCCGACAGTCGCAGGCATCTCGAGTCCTCAAACGCAAGAGATCCGCTGAACCCATATCTAACGGTTACACAGATATTCGGATTAAGCACGAAGAATCCATAAAGTCAGATCCGCAACTGAAGGAATGTTCTATATGTGCAGAAGACCTCGTACTCGCTAATTTCTCACATCAAATCTCGGCTCAGTGTACGCATGATCCAACATGCTGCAGCTCATGTCTATCTCGGTCTATTGGTGTGCAAATTGGAAGCAAAGAATGGAATCAGATTAGATGTCCCGAATGCGCGGTACTTCTCTCCTTTGACAATGTGAAGTTCTTTGCCTCCGAGGCAGACTTCATAAGGTATTTCATGTCCCCTGAAAATCTGCTCTACAGTCTCATGCTAACATATGATACATATACGACAAAAATTCGCTCTCATCTTGCATCAAAAGTGATCCCAACTTCACAAACTGCCTTGGGCCCGGCTGTAACAATGGTCAAATCCATGAGGGTGGTGACGATCAGCCTATCATGACATGCGGAACATGTAGTTTTAAAACATGCTTCACTCACAAAATGCCCTGGCACACCGATTTCACTTGTGAAGGGTATGATGACCAGTCTAGAGAAAAACTGCGACAAGAAGAAGCAAGTCAAGATCTAATGGATAAGGCCACCAAAAGGTGTCCCAATTGCCAAGTCCGCATCGAGAAAAACAAAGGCTGTGATCATATGACTTGTAAGATATTGAATCTTCGGAGTATCGAGTATTTGAGTTGCTAATTAAGGAACAGACAGTTCATGCGAGCACGAATTCTGCTGGATATGCTTCGTCGCTTATAGATTAATCCGCTCAATTGGCAACGCAGCACATCTATCAACCTGTCACTACTTTACAGGGAATCTTCCACGGCATCCAGACCAAATTCAATCTCCCCGTCAACTTCCCTGGGGATATCGAGCTATTGCAAGATCTGCAACCCCAGGTCCGGCATCACCACGTACGGCATTCACACCGCAAGAGCTTAGTATTGTGGGCCGGATCCGTGCATCTCAAACGCAGAGAAACAACCTCTGGGATTTTGACGACTTGGCTGATGAGGAATTTTAGGAGTCAATCCCACCCCGAGTTGACTTTTCGAAGCAATCAAGAGAGACTAGCAAATAATCTGGAGTAGCAACTATCATAGAGGAACATCATCACGTCTGGAGAAAGGGGTAAGGATTATTTCATGATTCGTTCTGGCTTTGTTGGGAGGATTTGGTGCTAGGTGTCAATGATTTCGCGGGTGCGAGGTTAATAATCATGATCTTACATGTACTCCGGGTTGGAAGAGGAAATCTATCAGGTGGGAGGGGGATAGTCAGGCAAATTGCAAAACAAAAGTTTTTTATGATGCGGGTGAATTTCTCGGATGTGACATATTCAATATTTCTCTTCCATTTTTCTTCTGGGTATCTCGTGCATCAATCAAAAGTTCAAAGATGTGCTTCTTTCATTGGAATCATTCATGCGTTTTGCGAATCGATCCGTCAGATGAAACTATACAGCTGCATCACCAGCAGCCAGATTAACGATCCTACCTGCTTGAGGACACTGAAACCATAAGTTGCAAGCAGGTAACTATTCAAGCTCAGTTTTATTCCTCAAATTCACTAAACAGCTCATGCACTGAAATACAGTGAATTAGAAGATCTTTGGCTTTGTGCGCCCCTCACTGAGCTCGGTTTCCATCTTATTTTACAACTGCTTCCACTTCTCCTCTGACTTTGTTCCTTAACTTCCAAATTTTAAATCTTCCAGCAAAGAAGAGGAAGACTATTTGTTTTTTTTGCTTTCTTTATTGGAGAACCATCATACTGCGCTCTTGATCAATTCGATATTACTGAGTGTGGGTATTTAAATCCTATTTTTACCTGCAAGGTGAAAAGTATCAATCACTTCCACCAAGCCAAAACCTCAATCTTCAGGTCTTATTCCAGGTAGATAATCCTTTTTGGAAAAGATTGTAAGTAATGCAACTCTGATTGCACCCATCATGCACTGGATGGAAAAAACTAGTTCCCATTCTTGTATAGAGCCATCGTCATCCAACATGTCGACCGCAACCGTTCCCTCCACGATGAAGGGTCAATGTGCTCATTGCGGCGCTCCAGCCCATAGGAAATGCCCTGGATGTTCTTCTCCACTCGGCGAGTAGGCCGTTGCAACCATCTATTATTGCGACGAAAAATGTCAAGCGGAGCACCGAAACTTTCACAATTCTGCTTGCAAGGCTCATCAGACCAAGAAGCTGTTATATTGTGCTGGCGAGACGCTGCAGGAAATCCTCTATCGATATCGTGAGGTTATGTTTAACATAAGGGTTTTGAAGCTCGAAGACAGAAATGGAACGCTTTACGTTGATGAAGACTATCCGGACGAGGAGATTAAAATGCAAATCTTCCATGACTTTCCAGTCAATTTGGTCCAGAATGTGGAGGATAAGCATGCTTTGCTGGCACAAAATGCATGTAGCGAGGCTATTACATGGATGCAAGAGGTCACTGGACAGTTTCTCACGGGTAAGCAACCAGGTGTTGCGCAGAATGAGAAAGAAAATGGCTGACGGGAGGGAAGGAATTGCTGCCAAGATTGCAGAAGTCGGTGTCACACCGAAAAACGCAAAGAGAAGAGTCAAGCAGCTTCTTGGCTCTGGCAAATACGATAATTCCGAGTTCCCACATAGCTGGTTCAAGGTCATTCTTACGGTGGCGCATACAGTCTCGATCTCACGAGCGCTCAATATGGCTATTATCTTCCAGTGACACCATGGCCCCAATACCTTGACAATCGTGTCTCGAAAATCTACAGCTCAGGAGAATTTGGTGACGCAAAGAATGAATACACAACGCTTATTAATGACCCAGCCGACCCCATCGCTGAGATTGGCCACATAAACCAAGGCTGCTCTGACGCAATGAAAGCGGCACAGTCAAGTGGGAAACAGAAGTCGGCATGCCGATATCTAGCTTCTTGAAATTGCCCCAGAAACAATTTGAACAAAAGCAAAAGGAACTTTGTGACTCCGTCGCTGATTGTCTTCGTTCTTATCAAAAATGCACTTTAGAATAAGTAGGAGCAGCTTCCAAGAAGTCGGGTGGTGTACCTAAGACTTCCTACTCCCCCGAAGGAAGTTTGATGGATAGTTTCTTCGAGTTGATGAAACATGCCTAGTAGAGTTCATCGCACATTGACTAAGTTACTGGTCGCATGGGGGAAGCTTCGATTTTCTTGAATGGGGAACGTTTGGTTCGTATCATTTTCATCGAACGGATTGGTTTCATTTGCAATGAAACTTGGTCAATCAAGTTATGGGAGGGTACTAAGAGTACCGAAATCACTTCCAGATAGGATAAAATCATATCTGGTGGCCATGGTAGGTTTATCAGACAAACTCATATGATAGAATTAATCGGTCAATTATATGCCCTTGAATGCTCATGATAAGGTTCAATTTTGTGTATAAGGCTCCATCAAAGTATCTGGACATGCCAATAACAAACTTCCAACTGCCACATGAATCAGCAGCTCCTCACGTCACTCAATTAGAAAGCCTAATAGTAAATGATCGCCTCTCGAACATGTATGTCCTACAGAACTTTACCTACAGTTAGCTATTTCTTCATGAAGTCAATAGTTGATGAGTAATGAATATTCATTGGTTAGATGAAGGTTCCATCGTTTGCACAGTCATACTTTGAGGGCGATTCACAACAGTCTAGAAATGTAGCAGCGTCTTCGCTTAGGATAGTCTTTGTGAAATCTAGCTTAGCTTGTTGGGATATTCAAAGAGATCTCGTCCCCCAAAGAGCCCTAGAGTAAGGCTGGGCAGTGAGGCTCTGGTTTGCCTAACAGAATAAGACCTCTAGTAATGATTATATGCAGCATCCAGAATGTTTCTTACTCCAGTTGAAAAGATTCCCCCATCTCGCTTATTGGTAGCGTAGTACTAATATCAAATCTATGGAGTACTAATCAAACAAAAGTGGCATGATGTCGTGGCTTAGCATCATAGCTCAACAACGCCCATGTCTTATATCCTCAACTTTCTCCACTAAATGTTCTCTGTGAGGACTAATGATATGGATTGTACCTACTGCTTCCGAGTCTCTGGAGAGTACTGTGCGATTATGTGATAAGGCTTTCCGGCACTCGGTACATTACAGATGTGTCTCATTAGGCTGACTACACTAATTGTCATTCTGCTAGCGCAATGAAGGTATGGTAATAGTGGGCGGCTGAACGAGCGAGGTTCAAGGCTGCCTGTAAGATTTTTTCTTTGCAATACCTGTTTCAGAGATGAAAGAAGTCGTCTCTCGGGTTGTACAGAATGAAGTAGGAGAGCCAGAAACCCCAAGAGACACGAAGCTTTCGGCTTTCTTGGTCTAGAATCTACTCTCAAGAGATTGTTGGCAAAGCCCAACTAGGTTTGCCACGATGAAGTCCAGCACCGTACATGATAAGGAAAATGAGTAGATTATCAGAGATACCAAACTAGCCCCTCACAGGTCGCAAGAACAACAATGTTGTGCGATGTTTGACAGCGTGGACAGTGCCCCCAATCGGTTAAATTAGTTCTTCAACATTGAACTAATAGCACATCTCGCTTTATATGAAACTCAACATCAAGCTGTGTTCGCTCGCCAAGAGAGTGATTGATATGGTCCAACACTCCTAGTCTTCCAATGAGTGTACTTTCTGCAATTATTTTTTGAATAAGTCGTGAAGAAATATCAAATCACATGCGGATGGTTGAAGAAATCGCTAATTAAGCTCCTTCCGGCTGTACTCCACCTAGCAGGTGCCACCTTTTGAAGTGGCCTTGTGCTTACCACAAAGGCGAACCTTTTATCCTTGACCTTCTCCCAAGAAAATATTTCCTCACTTGAGGGTTTTTCTTACTTGCCCATCACGCGAATCGGAAGACATGCCGGCAAAGCAAACGATAGAAAACAGATATGTGGATGTGGAAAAGCTCAAGGCTTTTTTGAAAGGGCGATTCCCCGGGCAAAACTTCGAGGTCAAGGTCAGTCATCATGTTTTTTCTTCAGCAGTCCCGGGGGTCTTTGGAATATTTTGAGCTGATTTGAATCTTTAGCTTCGACTTGGGCGATTTTTCGTGGAGGCACCAGAGATTCTGACACTTGTTTGTTTCGCATTTTCTTCTTCTTCTCTTTCCTCCCACCGAAATACGTGCACTAACCTGCGCAACGAAGGATGAGATTGATTCTTTTACGGAATCAGCGGCAAAGGGTGGCTGAGTGCATGCAGAAGAAATCTGTCTGCATGATGTAGTGCTTATTCGTCTTGATATAACTGGTTGGGAAATTCGCCAGAGGAAAGATAGGTGGAAGACAGGGCATATCACATAGAATTACGGATGTTGATAAACCAATTTCTGCCCGCGGTTTTGTGACTCACGATTGCCTTTTTTTCTCTCACTACCAAATTCAGTTGCCTTCTTTTCGTTATGACTTCCACTGCGCCCTGTTTATCCCCTCAAGTCATTGACGGACATTATGTGGACCCTCGAAAATTGATTAGCCTGTTACAACGAGTGTATGGGACAGTTGATGGCAATAACAATTTTCGAGTCGAGGTAAAATTCAACTATTGACTTCTTTTCGTGATGAGATCTAATACGTTTGTTATAGTTGAGATTGAATCGCTACAAGATATACCGTCCTTCCGACGATGATAATGTTCAAACGTTGACCGAGGTAAGAAGCAGTCAACTGAAATACTCATGAATGATTGGGATATTGATGGATTTTAGGAACAAATACAAGATTGTCGAATATATAGAAGGCGCAATCGTTGATCTGGCAGGTGTCGAAGAGGAAGAGCTCGTTATATCTCAATCGGTATTTTTGCTAATTATGAGAATTCATAATTCTGCCAGTCTTCTAGTCATGGAGTACGGGTGTTCTACACATTAATTTTTTGGGGAAAATCGATGTCCATTTCCGGGCTAAAAAGCGTGTCATTATTTGTCTTAGCATTGCAATTAAATTCAACGTTCTAGATGCGTTTAAAAGAATCATATAAAAGCTCAAAAACGGAACCGCTTACCATATTCTCAGACTACATTCTAGACCAGCGATTGTGATAACGATCATAATTTTGATCAGTAAACGACTATGGTCAAACACCATAATTTCAAAGGGAATTCGCCTCTTGGACGATGTGTTATCACAGCCGTCAGCTGCAGTGATTGTTGTACCATTATGCAAGGCTATCATGGGCTGTGTGCGGGGTGAATCTTTTCGCTTGAGGTAGGGAAATCAGTTATCGTATAATTAAACACTCTATGTAAATATTTATACGCTCATGAAGCCAGGAGTAGTGTTTATCGTATCTGATACTTGGACATGGCTGAATATCTTCATCTTGACGATTTGAAGGCGCTTCAATGCAAAATTGAAGCTAGGGCGAATAATCTATTCATCAAAACAGCGGAAAAGAGCTCTTTCCAAGTCATCAGGCTCTCCAAACCTGTCACAACAAGGAAAGAGCCAAATATTCCCACTTTTCAGAAGAACCTAGATGTCTACGAAGTTTCCCAAGTCAATCTCCTCAAAGAGACGGATGATGTTTGTCAAATCTTCATTGTACGACATGACAGATGCTGGGCAAGGTTAAACATTGAGAGAGCACTATTTGAGCATTTCGTTAATATTTATGAAGTCTGCGAAGAGTTTTGGAAGTGCGTGTTTGCGTTTGGGTTAAAGCAGAGAGAAAACGAGTTCGAGTTTCCTAGATTAAGAAGCAGAATAAGGAAGACTTTCGACATAACTGATCCATATGAGCCCAAAGGTATATCTTGGATATTATAACCAAATTGAGATAAAGAAAGCTAAGATTTTATCTGAACAGATCTGATGTATGTGATTCGTCAGGTAGAGCTAAATGGGCGAGGAGGGACAAACCCTTGGTCTATTCGTCAGACAGCAGTGTATCATGGAAGGAAGCACGATGGAATTTCTGCGCTACCCGTCTCGATCAAAAGCACGCCCTCGGTGCTTTTGATTATTGCACCTACGTCTAATGCAGAGATGAGAATGACAGCATATCTCGAAGAAAGAGCCGCTGACAAGCGACAGACATTATCATGGAATTTGCATAGACTCGTAGTATCAGATAGTCTTTCGGGATGGCCGGACTATATGGCAAGCCTTGAAGCAAGACTGAGAGAGCAAGTATGTTTTCCGAATATGAGAGCTCGATGATCCAATTTCTGATTAATTTCCACAGACAAACTTGATAATATGCGCGCCCGATGACATGGAAGAAGAACCTTCCTCAGAACACGGAATAGGGTTTGGATCACGACAAGAATTGAAGGTCTTGGAGGATTTTGTGCTTGACCTTTTGATGATACTTCGGACAAAAGTAGAAACCATTACTGGCCTTCGGGACCAATGCAAGGAATATGCAAACGAATTCGGAAAACAAATGGAAATTGAAGAGAGAGCATCTCATTACCTGATACTGAGAGAATTCGACGAGTATGTGAAGGATGCGGAGTCATATCTAGGTCGTGCGAAAGACTTAAGAGATCGAATACAGTCAACTGTAACTTTGGTACGTATGCGGCGAATCCAACTGTAACTTTCGTAAAAATTAACCTACTGCAGCTATCGGATTTTTTAAATCACGAAGAGAATAAATCAATGCATCATTTGACTGTGAGTATTCATGACTATACCCTTGAAAGGAGAGCTAATGAATCTATAGGAGAGAAGTACAAAAGATGCTGCAGCTGTCAAAATCTTGACCATAATTACCCTTGTCTACCTGCCCACTACGATTGTTGCCGTCAGTTTTCCGACCATCAAGTTCATTCAATCTACTAATTCGTCTTAGAATTTCTTCTCCACCCAATTTGTGCAGACGAGCGATAGTGGACATATGACAATAACGGAGAACTCTTGGATATTAGCAGCCATTTCAATACCTTTGACAGCTTTAACCATAATTCTGTGGTGGGCTTGGGTTTACCTCAGTGAGGTGAAGAAAGAGGTGACGGCATCCGAGAAATCAGATTCTAGCCGTCAAGACAGCTTTCGGTCTTTCATTTCTTCCAGCAGGAAAAGCTTCAGGAGTTATTCTATATCAAGAAACCGGCTTAGGAAGTCAGATATCGAAGCAGGTGTTTCTTCTCATGTGAAAAGTATGGCCCCACCACCACTTTTTCGGGACTCTGGTGTGGGAACTTGGTCAACTACAGCGACAACTATCAAGTCAGGCTAATCACACTTATCTCGCATTCGCTATCAGATACTGGGGTCTTTAGCAAAGTATGAGGAGGGTTACATCGCATTGTAGTATTGTAGTAATGCATTTGGCATATCCAAGGCCATGTCCGAGTTACGTCTCTTACTCTCAGTGTTTGTCCTGAACCGCAAAATTGGTTGAAAGTAGCAGAAATTTTTCTGTATTAGGTCACTCATCCATGGGTTGGAATCTACGACCTGTACAATTCAATAAAAGCTCCAAAATGCCCCACTTCTCTACCCCAGTTCTTGCAGATCACATATAAGCGATGGCTTGTTTTTTAGACTGCTAGATTGAGCTATGCGCAGCTTACATCTTGCTGGTTGTATCTTACTGGCCACTGTCGTCCGACAAATGATGAGCCCCTGTAATGTAGTCATGTTACTTATGAGTAATTACTGATTGAAGTTCATATTTGCCTGAATCGCTTGTTTACACATTTCAAGGAAACTTATGCTCAGAAACCGGTTCTCGGAGCCCTGTCTCACTGGAGGAGGATTTCATGTACAAACACTGCGCCTTCTACTCGGATGCCCAATTTACGCTTATAATGGACTCGAAAAAGAACATATTGACAATCATGGCTTTAAGTTCCCACACGGCAAATTGGAATCAAAACAGAAGTGTGGAGGCTTGGACGCTGATGCTATCTTTCAGGAAACACGGTCAGCACCCCCATTCGAATTTGCTCTACAGCACCTTCCGTTTTGAGACACCGTCTTGATCTTTCAAGGGTTTCGCTTACTACATACAATAAAGTATCACACACATACTATATTAATGCCAATGACATAGTGAGCCTGCGCTGGCGACCCAAAACGCGACCCTTAGAGCCTCATGAGAGTTAATTGTGTGTGGAGGCTGATAACTTCGCCTTCCTCAGCTTTTTTGACCGATTGAATGAGCCATATAGTTTACAAAATGGAGACTCGTGCCACTCAAGAGAATGCAATCGTGCCTTATAAGGAAGCACATGCGTTCATAAATAATCGCCACAACTTCGCATATCCCAATGGGACTTATTCAACTTCTTATTTGCAACATGAAGCTTTTCCACCGCTCGGCAAAAGGTGAATCAGGCACAAGAAAAAAAAGTCCTTTGTCACACAACGGAAACCAGCCCTCGGTAGGAAAGCTCGATGCTTCTTTTGGTGGCCACCACTGACTAGCTCGCTGACACTACTCAGAGTAACACAAGTAATGCGACTACCAATCGTGAAACTCCTAATCCCCGATCATCCACAAATGGACGACTAGTTCCTGGTAAAAAAGAGTCAGGCGGAGGTCAACCCGTCTTGCTACAACAAAAATTAAGTGGTAGTCGAAGAGAAACTTTCCCGCAGTCGGGACAATTTTTCATTCCGATTTGTCGCCAAGAATCCATACTCACCGTCGAGGCGATTGAAGACGATATACGCAGATGTGATGCCACGATATCAATTGATCGAGCGAGAGTTTATGCACAGTGGGCTCGCGAGAATGGAAGAAAATTATACGCGACCTTAGCTTACATGGAAAGGGGTGCGGATGTGCGCCACCTCGTGAGACAAAAGATTTCGGACAAGGATCTTCCTTTAAAGTACATTAGAGGTGCTCTCTCCCCCGAAACAGAGACGCGAGAAAAAGGTGGTCTTTTTCTCAAAACAGGGGTGCGAGTAATGGATATTGGTCATTGGAGGGATAAAGAATTGGAAGAGTTCTTCAACACACAGTGGTGGATGATAGCACCTGTTTTCAAGGACAAAGCAGAACTTGAACTCACCGCAAGGGAGGTTCTGCCTTTTCTCCCCTTTGATGGCGACGACACAGATAAAATGGAGACCAAGCAGGGAGCATACAGCGAGGTTTTCCCCGTAAATATTCATTCTTCTCATCATGAGTTTTGGAATAGCGACCACGAAAAGGTAAGACTGGGATTTGGTTATTGAAAACATGTACTAATGAGATGTAGACAGAGAGGCCATTAATAGCCGTGAAAAGATTATTTTCGACCGATGAGATAGAGTTTAAGAAGGAGCGTGATGTCCTGAAAACCCTCGGCAGTAAATCGCCACCACATCCACACCTAATTCGATTATTGGCCACTTATCGACAAGTCGGGAAATATCATCTCATATTTCCATACGCAGAAAGCAACCTAAGATCTTACTGGGAAAAACGCCCACTTCCGCAATTTGATCACGAAACAGTCATGTGGGCCTTGACACAGATGTGTGGGATCTCCAATGCATTGCTGCGACTGCATGAGTTTAAAGTTACATTTCCACTGAACGTTGGCGGTGCGGCAAATGTTCGTGTGCAAACGGAAGATGACGGTCAAATAAGCGTACGGGCAGGCGAAGAGATGTTCGGTCGTCATGGCGATATCAAGCCGGAAAATTTATTATATTTTTCGAAAGGCCCTGAAGCAGAAGATCCACGGGGTGTTCTAAAGCTGGCCGATTTTGGCCTCGGGAGATTCCATGGCAGAGATTCAAAATCAGGAATAAGGCCTTCTGGGATACTCTCATCCCCAACCTATGAGCCTCCTGAATGTAAACTTCGCCGCCCGGTGTCTCGAGCTTATGATATTTGGAGTTGTGGATGTGTGTGGCTCGAATTCATTACATGGCTTGTGAAAGGTAGTGCTGGTATAGAAGAATTTGCGGATCGGAGAGGTAATAGTGCAGGACTCAATGACATTAACGATGACAATTTCTTCACCATCCCACGAAAATCAAATAGTTCTTCAGAAGCTACCATCCGAGCCGGAGTCATAATATGGGTCGAGCAATTGCATCAGCATAAGAGATGCTCCCAACTTATCCATGATCTGTTGAAATTGATTATGAACGACCTTCTACTCATTGACGCAGATGAGCGTATCAAAGCTAGCGAGTTCCATCAGCAAATGAAGAACTGCTATCAGAAAGCAACAGAAGATCCAGACTACATGTTGAAGTCAGCACCTTCATCGCCGAAGGATTCGAAAGCGACACTTCTCGAAATACCGCGACATGAGACATCCGGATCTCACATGACCTCCAGCGACCAAATGAGTGTAAATGTCTCGCGGCATTCTAGTGTATCTCGCAATTCCAGAGACTTGAGCCCGAAGTCCAAGAAAAATGTAACTTGGCCGACAGATCTCACCAAGGAGTGATATGGAAATATTTTTCTCATTGAACCAAACCTCTTTGTCTAGAGCACAGGGTACAACAAGCTTCAGTCGTTTGCACTTCGAACTGGAACCGATAGATTCTAGAATCTTAAGCACTGGAAGTTGAACCTTCATTTTGTTAGTTTAAAGATGCATGCATTGGATCAGGAAGAGAGGTATGACCCCCTTATTACTTATCGTTCTGGACACGAACTTTTTCTTACCTTTTTTTCTCGAAGTAGGGTCATCATAAATTTGTAAAGGAAACCACTGCGAATCGTCTGGAAATAAAAAAACACAGTCTTAGTATATTTGTTTTTCTCCTCCATTATCGACTTATGCTACGGCGTCAGGAATACCAGGAAACTAGAGCGAAGGAGCTTCCATGTTTTCTGGGCTGCTGTTGTAAAGAATTCCTAGGTATTACAAACCAAGAAAGAAGTCACCGGAATTCTTCTACGCTAACAGGGGACTAAGGCGAGAAACAGCCGAGTCTCAAGCACAGAGGAAAGCACGGTTGCGAGCAGTAGATCTTACAGAAATCATGTTGTGTCAGGCTTGTTAGTTGTCCAGGAAATATATCGTTTTATTATTTTCAATTTCGAAATATTTAGCAATAGCAATTTAAACTTCCCACGAATGCAGTGATACAAGCCTTGATGACTCTACGAAAGTTTGTATCAAGTCCGGAAAGATATTCCTTTTCATGCCAAGCCCCCGCCAAGTCGACATCCACTTTGCTGCAGCCGAAATCAATGTCCATCCAAATGCATGTATCTATTCGTATAACGAAAGGGTAACAAACAGAAACTTTCAGGCTCCCAGTTCTGTGAGACAGCGCAAAACTATATCAGAACAAAGAGTATCAAACTTTTCTGTCCAATGAGTGAGAACAAAGTCGGATGCACTGTATACCGGCTTGAAAATCCTCAAATTGGCGATAGCAGAGCACAGAGGTCTGATAGCAGGTCTGCCATGGTTCAGTGTCTGCTGCTTGACCTTTGCCTATTTCTTGCCTTTTTGAGCCTCAAGTATATCCGCCAGATATTCCTTCCACTGCTCCATCTTAATCGCCGCTAGTCCTCTTGTCATAACAGTTTGGAATTGAATATTAGGAAGTGTAAAGTGTTTTGAATATGATCTCATTTAATTCCTGAGTGTATCTTCGTCGGTAGATAGTTCTTCAATCTCAGTAGGTTGGCGAAAGTGTCTCATACGAGGATGAAGCTCAGGATGTGTCTTGTTGATGCGATATTGGCTGAGATTGCGAATCAAATCAACATGGCCTTCCGTAAAGATAAGATCGGCATGCTGCTCAGGCGTGAAGTTTTTCTCTAAGCAAAGCATTCCATTGCACGTCCTAATGGTGGGATAACACTTGCCCAGGTGATGATGATTTATCACGATGTGAAGATTGATCAATCTTGGGAAATGGGAGAGAATTGACGCTAGAAAGCCCCGCCTGTTCAAGCCTCCAGAGGCAATGCACAAGTTCTGAACTCGACTAAGTTGAATCCTGTCCATACTTTTGAGACCGTCTTGAAATTGAACCCGGCAATCACCTGGATCTTCAAGAGGGGCCTCGAACGTCTTCGCGTTAAGATAGAGTATATCTACAAAACAATCAAAATAGGTTCGAGCGAACCCAGAGCAACCATTGTCGAAAAAAAAGAAAACATCATCTTATAATGATTGAGCGCGACCCGGTGAGATTCAATGCAAGCCGATAGCATTGCTGGTACTCGACGTCCGGATTTTAACGTTGAGACGTGACGATACGAGGGACGACTAGTATCATTGTAGAATGGCAGCAGATGTTTCTCCTTAGGCTTTGGTTCTCTGAATTCTATAAAACGGTGGTCTGCTTGTAAGAGTACAATACGTGGACCAGGCAGAGCAAACTTCCATATTCGAAGGCGTAACTCTGCAGGGAGTTCTGGAAATCGCCAGAAATCATCTTTGGCCGGCATGACGGTACTTGATCGTAAACACGGTGCCGTAGAAACAGGTAAGGGGGAGGAAGAAATGGAAACCAACTTTTGAGGATCGTGATCTGATGGCGCAAAGACCTGTCTCACGCTGCTTTCTTTTTAATGTGGTTTCTTTGGAGCTTTTGTGAACTCTTTCGAGAGGTAGAAAAACACAGGCAAATAGTTAAGAAAGACACAAATGTTGATCGGGATTCGTTTCAGAGTCGTTCAGGGTCGAGTACCAAGATTTTTAATCTGCGTCTTGACTTAGAGAGAGTATGTGAAGTCCACGGTGAGATTAGAAGTTGAAGTCTAACTTATTAGTAGCCTAACGAATTCGAGCCAACTGAAGGAAAGCTGAAGCCTTGATGTTCACTATCATCTGTAGAAGCTAGGTAGAAACTGAGGCGGTAGTCATGGGTAGCAAAAAATGAATTGGGTAATCTACATCTACTATAGCTATACGCCTCCTAATTACCGTCATATCCCAGAGGTAGATCTCCCCTTCATAAATTCGACAAATTCCGCATCTAGTTGAAAGTAGGTTAGTAAATTGCTCACTCAGTATAGATTCTCAATCGCATAGAACTGTTGAAATTCTTACAACTAATTTTATCCTCTGCATCAACAGACTTCATTATAGCGTTGTCAATCTCTGCATCACTGATTGTTTCTCCCAGATTTCCCAAAACCTGTCTCAATTGAGCCGCAGTGATTGACCCCTTTAAAGATTGATCATGTTCCTTCCACGCAGATTTCCACTCCTCTTCTGAATCTTCCTCACTCGAAACAGGAATTGGAGCCGACTCTGCTCTCAAATCATCTTCACTAGGCTTTGGATCATCCGGCTTTTGCCTCGTTCGACCTGTCATCATGGCAATGAACTCTGCATGCATTTAGTGAATGCCCACCTGTTCCTGTAACAGATTGACGGTATCATACCATCAAAGTTTATAGTACCATCACCATCGAGGTCCACTTCTTTTATGATTTGTGCAAGTTCTTCTTCGGTTGGATTTTGTCCAGACTGTTTCATCACACGGCCAAATTCCTCTACGGTAATGTTGCCTGCAAATACTAATCAGTCCTGGAAGCACTGTAGGTCGTCTCACACAACATACCCCCTTTATCTGTGTCCTAATTGGTCATATCAGTATAAAATCTCACAACGCTAGTATCTCTTTGCAGGTAAACACGTACATATGCATCGAATGCTTCTTTGAGAATAGCAACTTCTTCATCTGACAGTGGCTTGGCCTAAATGTACTAAATCAGCAAGAGTAGCAGACACATAATTTCTCCACATACCATAATGGTAGAATATTGGGTATGTTTAGAAAAGCAATAAAAGAGATGAACAGTTCTACGAACGAGAAGCTATTTCGCGGAACTCATTGCATCTTAAAGTGGGATGAGGATATCCACAGACTGCCCCTGCGTCGATCATACCCACGTGATAGTATGATCATCGCCATAGAACGTTTCACCAAGGACAGTCGTTTGATATCGCTGGATTCTAGCATCATTGCCCGATACTGCAACTCATCGCTCGCAATTGATTCAGTCAACGCCTACATAACTCTATGCTACTAATAAGAAATCAGATCATGAAGCGAATGCAATGCCGGTACGTGATGTAAGCAAATAACTAGATGAGACTCTCGCCGACCATACTACGGCTCATCAACTGAACATTTGCCTTTGTTTTCATCTGTTGGAAGATTGAAATCGTCCGGGACGTTCAAATCATAACATACCGCAGAGGTGCAAGTACAACCTATCACGTGGTATACCCCTCCCGCAATATTTCCACTCATCCGCCAATACCCGTCAGAGCAAGAACGACGAGTACAATCCCATTCCCCACCAAGCTAAAGCCTTCTGCAGCAACTCCTACAACTCAACAAATCCTAAGAAACCCCAGTGAGCTCTAGGTTTACAACCCAGACTAGAAAACCAAGTATGTAATCATCAACAACTTCTCTTTTTCCTTCACGATTCAATTCAATCCGGTTCCCAGAATTGATGAGCAACGTAAATGTAATAAGGCACACCACTAATTTCAGGACAAATCAACACATCCCATAGACCGGAATTTGTAATCGCAAAGTTCAACTCAATCAACAAAAAATATGGTATTCATCTAATTTATCAATCTAAACAAACTTGCTGTCCTTGCTTACATACAAGTCAACATACTCATCCACTGCCATTGCCTCAAGTCTCTTGGAATCATTGCCCAAGTCGACCAACTCCTTGACCTTAGCTTCACTGTAATGTGGTCCCAAGTGTCTCTTGTATTTGGCCAAAATTTCTGGTTTGGCTTCTTCTCTTCTCAATCTGTGACCTAATGGAGCATCAACAACAACCTCTTCCAAAACTTGTCCGTCGTTCAATGTGACGGTCAAAGCATTTGGAATGGTTCGCATGTTCTCGTTGTGATAATCCTTGGTGAATTGTGGATCTTCGACACAGGCAATCTTCTGTCTGAGCGATTCAACCAAAGGAGAAGTAGCAGCCTCTCCGCCATCGGTATAATCTGTTGCTTCAAGACGCCCAAAAACGAGCATGACTGCAGTCATGTATTGGATGCAATGATCACGATCGGCAAAGTTGTCCATAGGCTTGAATTGTTTGTCGATGATGCGAACGCAAGCTTCGTGTGTTCGACAGGTAATCTCCTTGATATCAGCGGCAGACTTTCCTTGGTCCACCAATTGTTGACGGATACGTTTTGCGGCTTCGATGGCGGTTTGAGAGTGGAACTCGGCTGAAAAAGATTAGATAACATACTACAATAGAATCTGTGGATAATATACCTGGATAAGATACCTTGAACAACACGTTCTCCATAACATAGCTGCCATATGGACGCTGGAATTCAAACTTGTTACCCTTGAAGAGAACATCGTAGAAACCCCAGACTGGAGCAGACAAAACTGTAGGAACACCAGGCTCGCCCTTCATAACCTTCAAGACCAAGTTTACGGCACGTTGGCAAGCATCACCAGCAGCCCATGACTTTCTTGACATAGTGTTTGGAGAGTGTCTGTATGTTCTTAAACTCTGTCCATCAACCCAAGCTTGTGAAACTGCATCTGCAGTTTGCTTCTCGCTCAATCCCAACAATTTGGAAACTACAGCGGCACTAGCAACCTTGACAAGTACAACATGGTCCAAACCGACCTTGTTGTAAGAGTTCAAGAGTGCCAAACAACCTTGAATCTCATGTGCCTTAATCATGGCTTCTAAAACCTCTTTAATGGTTATGACTTTACCATTGCCGAGATTTCCACCAGCTCTGTTTGTTCGAGAAATCCAATCTGCCACTGCGAGAATTGCTCCCAAATTGTCGGAAGGATGACCCCATTCTGCAGCCAACCAGCAATCATTGTAATCGAGCCATCTAATCATAGCACCAATATTGAATGCACCATTTACAGGATCGAGCTGAAATGGTGTACCTGGGACCTTTGTGCCATTAGGAACAATAGTCCCTTCAACGATTGGACCCAACAATTTTGTACATTCTTTGAATCGTAAACCTTCGAGACCGCAGCCTAGAGTGTCGAGGAAAACAAATCGAGCTGTGTCGAACTATCAAAATCAATTAGCGGGGTAATCAATATTGTTGTGCTTTGATAAAACTCACAGCAAGATCAGATTCAATTGGGGTGTTATGGACATAGCTGGCGATATCCTTAATCTCAGGATCGTATTCTCGAGCTTGGGGTGGTGGCGGGGCCCCAGATTGCAAAGGAGACATGGTGGAGAATTGTTTGAGCGATGGTGTTGTTCTTGTTGAAGCTCCGAAGTTTGCACGACTTCGCAGAGAGAGTGGGATTCTAAAGTTTCGTGATTGGGCTGGTAGTCGAAGAGTTCTGGATGCAGTACGGACACTACGATTAATTGTCGACATTGTTTTGTCTCTTTGCTTTTCTATCAATGAGGACAAATAAACTTTTCACATCAAGAGATCAAAAGGCACAAGAGTTTAGTTTGGAAATAATGAGATTGTTGGATTGTTCTTTACCCGTACTGTACCTAGGCATTACCGCATTCCACAGGTCTTTGACCATACCACCTTCCCCACGGATCTACAAAATCCTTCTCACTTGCCTCGGTTAAGAGCGGTTTATCTCACGGTATCGGATGTAGAAACCACTCGATATATTATTGATTTGGTAAATACCAAGAACGATTGGAAAATCAATATATGTATGTATGCATGTATGTAATATATGTTGTCCTATAATCTCCTACAGTCTGTAGGTCACTGATTCAGTTCTCAATTGTCATTAACCCCTTTCGCTACCGACGCTATCAATTACCTGGGAAAGCAATCTCAATGTTTTCACCAACGAAACCACACGAGACTCAAAATAAAGTACCATCCCTCCCTTCAAGAAAAGACTCGTATTTCCCTCGCTGTTTTTTATCTCACTTGTAGAATCCGCTAAGTGCTCTCCTTGGTAACCTTTCAGCTTGATCCTTCTTTTTAGCATGCAACGTTTGCCCATCAGGTTCTAGGTACGAATCTCCCCATCGGACTGCAGAATCGAGAAGTCAGCATCTATTTTCTTTATTGGAAAAAACGATCCCACAACTTCTTTGCAGAAGTCAAAGGATAAAGCATCCTCTTGGAAATTTCACAAATATCACAGAAAAACACGATAAAGCGGTGATTGGGCGATGAGTTTGGGGGAAACATACCAAATAATTGTTCTCCAAAGTTTATATCCCTCAACGCTCTAACAGTGATGCGTAATTTCCCTGCCCAGACTTCCGAGCGGAATTCAACATTTGATGTTTTACTCGTGCCTTTATTAACCACCCTAGTCCATCCACCTTTATGGCCAGTAATCAATGTTGCGATCGGTTCTGTATTGGTGTCAATGGTCTTCTCCACTACGACATCGGGGTCAATCTCTAGAACTTTTCCAGACTTGTCGACGGCGGGAGGTGCATGAAAGTCTACAGAGAATGTAGAAGGACACTTGAAATCAACCTCGGCACCAAGTGGGATGAATTCTCCAAGGACTTCCGAAATGATATGGCCTCTTGGTACGTGTTGTAAAATCCTGACTCCGCGGTCAACAGAGGTAGCCATTTTGGAATTGGATTCGGAATGATATTCCTTGATCTCTACCAAGATTCGATTGCAAACATCGATCGTCCTGCAGCGACAGATTGGCTCCCCTTCGGGTGCTTTTGCTGGCTCTGCTTCTTCTGGATTTTCTGGCTCTTCTGCTTCTTGTGGTTCTTCCTGTACTTCTTCTACTACTTCCCGCGGCCCCGTTCGGAGACCACAAGCAACACACAACGGATAGTTCTTGCCCCATTCCTGACATGGATGCTGAATATCCGCAGGCGGATATTCCCAGCTTGGTGGCCATGTTGATGGGGGAGCATATTGTTTGAAAATTTCTCTGTTGAATATGTTGGCCTTCAGATTTTGAAAGCGGAGCGGAACCACACGGGTTTTCGCAGGTCCCAAACTTTCTACATTTTCTTTTGGATTCTTGAATGGAAGCTTGAAGACACCCTGATGTACAGATTCGGATTCGCCAGGAAGGGGTGTGAATAAGCAAGGATAAACAGTTCCATCCCCTCCAAGGCACACTTCAAACGGATCTCTGATCGAAGGATCCAGCTGAAGATTCAAATTCGCTGGCCACACATCGCCCCCAAAAATCTTCGAGCCGCTGCGACTAAAAACCTTCATATATGGAATATGTCGTGCGATAGCAAACCCTCTAATGCTAAAATGTTCCAACTTGAGCTTCAATTGGAACTCGTCCCATCTAGTAGTATGTGAGTACCCCTTTTGATCGGGCCCGGGGAAAGTTCCATCAGGCAATTCTCCATAAGTCAATGCGGTGCGGAAATTCTGTGAAAGCATGAGAACGCAAGCACTGTCAGTGCCTATGCCTTTCACATGCTCTTCTGGGTTTTGAGCTAACAATAAAAATCGTATGTATACCCCCGAAAGATCGTCAAAGAGCCCTTCATAAGGATCGTACGTATCGGAATTGATCAACGTAGGGTGCAAAAAATGATATTGAAGATCCGCATAAATCTTTTCAAACAATTTCGTTGTATGAATTCTATACCTCTCTCGCTCGATATTCGTCACCACCGATTGCGATGCTGGAACTTTCTTCCCCCGATTTTCCAAAAATTTCTGTCTTCTCTTTGCGGCTTGGACCACAGCGTCATCTTCATGTTTTCTCTTCCATCCACGATTTTCTTCCACAACCTTCTCTTGATGTTTCTCTGCCAACTTCCTCTTACGACTTGCAAATCTCCCCTTCAATTTCCGAATTCCTTCCTCATGCTCGAGTTTCTTCTGCTCATTGTAAGCGGCTCTCGCAGCGGGATCCATCGATCTAAAATTTTCCAGCTCCATTTCTTTCTCCCTTTCTCTCATCTTCTCTTTAGCTAATCTTTCAACTGGGTTAAGCTCCCTGGACCGTCTTCTAGGAGGTCGAGATAAAGATCTAGAACGAGACCGAGAACGAGACCGAGACTGAGAGTCAGAGGAATGACGTGAATCGCGATCAAGTGGTCGCGGACGGGGCCGTCGCCCCCTCGGCTTCGCCCATGGTGCCCAACCAAACCAATTAGCCATTACGAGATGATTGCGTCGTGGAGTTTCCTGGTACCTAGTAGATGATGGGAGAATATTTCAATAGATGTATCGATATTATAAACCAAGCTATTGCTATCACGATCAACGTATCTTCCACCGTCTGTCTATTCATGAAACCATATAATAAATCTAAATTCTTTGTGCTTGATCCAACACAACTTATACAGTGAAAGAAAATCCCCGCATGCGGTTACAATCACTTTTGAGAACAAATAATGAAAGAATAAGATTTTATTATCTTGACTCTCTCTTTGAGTGGTTGGAAATGAGGAATTTAAGCCGTGAACGGTCTACTCAGATGACAAGGAGTCAAAGTAGCATTGACCCCTGACACTAGGCTCGCAGATTTGATGGCAGTTGGCAGGATCTACTAGCATGTAGGATTACGACCATAATACTGTGAACTTTCTCAGTGATATTCAAAAAAACATCAATAGTCTTGTAAATTCCAAATCCCCAAATTACTTTCCACACCCTATCACGTGATGTCACTCTACCCTTCGAGATTTACACATCGAGATGATCATCGCAGATTTTACCATCAGGAACATTCTCCAATAATTCAACGCCTTGATTGAGTGAGCCATATGATTCGGGATACGTAGCATGCCAGATGAATTCCATCAAAGGCTTCTCGAATACAATAGATGATATACAAACACACTCGCGGCCAAATCCTTTAGACCATTAGACCGTATCTCTAACTCGCGATGATTAGAGTGAATCATTGGCGGAATCTGGATCGTGATCAGACCGTTTAATGCATGAGGATAAAGCCATGTCTCAGGCTATTCTGCTGGTCGTGGATGGACGTGGGAGTTGAACGGGTTGTACATGTTTGGTTATGAGGTTTGCATGAGATATCGAGTACTGCTAGCGTGAGCGAAGTAGCTCTTACGATTGTTCGACCATCTGCCAGGGGAAAGAATGATTTTGACTGAAGCTCGGTTGGTATGTTTCCTGGTTGCGGTAGATGCCCAACAGCTACTGTGAATGTACCTTCGATTTATGTATAAAATTCATGATACCTGATATTGCGGCTGAGGGCAAATACACACAAATACCCATTAAACAGCTCTAAAGTCGAAGAATAAAACACCAATCATTATCAATGCAACTCTGGAGTTAAACTGGTAATGCAACAGAATACATGTAAATCACGACAGTCTCGCAACCGACTAAACCTTCTACCAATCGATTCCTTTTCCGAAAATTGACTGCCCATTTTAACCATGCGAGGAATAGCTCATCGTAGATCGAGATTAAGTATGACTTCATCTGCTGTTAGGTTCAACGTAGATATTTTCAATAGTCTGAAGAGGGGTCCGTATGGAATCTGCACTGTTCCTGTTCGCCCCAACGTTGTGAATAAAATAGTTTCTGACAATTGAGATGAGCCTTCGATTAGAAACACGATGGAAATGGAAAAAACGATGTGCAAAGACTTGGAGCTTATGGATACAATACAATTGTGTGGCGGGGATGTTCGTTATACTGCAATTGTTTCTTTACGTTGATTGACAGAAGATAAGCCCATAAAGATTGATGAAGGGGCAATCATCAGCGATTTATTCTTGCAAAGAGAAGGACGAAATTCCTTTCAAATAAAACAAAGAAAGCACTTGCAATCACAGAGGCTATTGTCAAATAGTAAAAATAGTTTTGCACTGGTGTGTTAGAACTTGTCCATGGAAATTAATCGAAGCTGTAAGATAATGTTGTATTTTCCATCATCGCCCACCAGGGTGAAATACTTTCCGTACCTACTGTGTATGCCAACACGAGAACCCTAATTGCCATATACCCCATGAAATACTCCAACCCCTTGCGAAACGCCCTGATCTTTGAAATACGCTCCAATACGCTTGGCCGCAATACACATGTTGAAATTTATTCCTCTTCACTTTCGTCACTTTCTTGCTCCATCAGCGCCTTTTCCATTTCCGCCTCCAGATCTGCCTCAAGATCCAGATCCATTTCTTCTTGACCCACGACTCCAGGGCTATTGACTGGACTAGGTAGTTTCAAATGATCAACATCCTGGTTTTGTTCATAGATTCCATCGTGATCTGCATCTGCATCTTCATCTTCATCACTGATTTCTTCGCTTGGCTCTCTCTGAAAAATTGGTGCCCTATACTCATATTGTTGATGCGAGCTTTGCCCATCCGGAAATTCAACCGTGAAACCATCATCCGAATCTTCTTCTGGTTCGGGCGTTGGTTCGCGCGGTGGTGGTTTCGGCTTCTGTGCCTTCTCTGCCTTCGCACGAGGAGCAGGTTTTGCTTTCGTTGCTGCTGGAGCCTTTGATTTTGGAGCTTTCTTTTGTGGTACTTTAGGTTGAGGCTCCTCAATGATAGCTTTCATCGGTGGCTCCAGCTGTTCATATTGTGATTGTAATTGGGCGGCGTCATCGGTCCATGGTGCGCTCGTCAAGTTCATATCGAATGTAGAATCAATGCGATCCAAAACTAAGACCTTCCTAACGGGATCGAATGTAAGTATAAATTGGCCGTCTCCGGAGGTTCGAGCTCCAGTATATGTATAATCATCATTATTATCTGACAGGGAGAGGTCGTAATTCGCAGAATGGGGATTGGAAGAGGGTTTCAGCTGTGCTGAGTTTGCGGAGGCTCCGATAGAGGGATCAGGTTTGTGATTATCTAACAATTGTCAGTCGATGATTTCATTACATTGAGACGACCCAACTTGCATCTTATGCCTGTATATGTATTGTTGGTAGATTTTCCAAGCAAGGCATCGCTGAGAACGACGGGGTATTTTCCCGGCTTGTCCCAATCTATTGCTGTAGTCATGGTCGCCTTTCGATGTAAAAGGTGTTCCTCTTTGAGAAAGTACCTAGGTATCTAGTAGTATAGAATAACAGTAGAACAAGTCGAGGGGTAAATCGATTCTACAAAAGAATGTTTGAAGAGAAATAGGAAACGGAAAATTGATTTGGTATGAATAATATTAAGATTACATCAATAGATTGAGTGCGTATTGGGTGAGTATAAGCAACAAGGTGATAAATGATAAAAATGTACCGGTATGGGTAAGTTATTCAATGATGGAAAAGAGGGTAAGAGATTGGGATGAGATGGGGTGTGGATGGGGATGGGGATGGGGATGTTGATCCTATGAGCTAACAGGATTAGGTAAACTTAGGACGGTACTCAAGTAGGTATGTACTAGGAACACACCGTACAAAGTATACAACAGAAATGAGTGAATGTTTGACTGTTGATAACTTCCTCTACTCACCTGGGTATTATAGGGTAGGTCCAGAGTTGATTCAGGAAGATAATGGCCATGTGGTACTAAATTTAGACACTAGAGGATCTCTTGATAGGCTTTGTCTTTAAGGTACATCCCTTGGTATTTTCTGGGTAACTCATAGCCTATAGAGAGTACTTGTTCTTTGTATATCACTGGGCAATGAATCAAAGTGATTGATTATACGGAGTTTTACACCATACAGGATACACCATACATCATAGATTCCATTGTTGAGTAAGACAAAGAAAGGCATCTAGTAGTTATCAATAGAAAATTGTCCTATGTAACAACATAATAGGGACGGCAGAGAGTGCTTACTAGTGTCGCCTACCTAGGGGTATCGTAGGTAATTAGTAGATACTACCTACTAATGAATCCTTATCTAAATCCTTATCAATCCGGTAGATCGGTAGGCAGGGCGACACGTGACCATCAGCTAGATTTTTAATATTCATCATCACAATCCATCTTGCGATCATCTTGAGTGATCTGTTACAATGCTCAAGCTCCCGGCAAGGTGGCACGTATAGGCACGCAATTTCCTTATCTATCACTAGTTATTATGCAAGTGGCAAATTTGACAATAATGCACACACAATTTATTCATCCGAGAACGTCTGGAGCATGCTACCCAGGTAGGTACCCAGGATAACGCTCTCCCGAAGTCGGCAATTGAATATAGCCTCATGTGCGTGTATACCATGCATATTAAAGTTATGCAAGACGTGTGCGGGGTGGGAAGGGGACTTGAAGTTTCCTTAATTACAAGGCGACATTAGATATGAATGTGGTCTGCTCTTCCTCAAATTCTCATGCAGTTTGTATTATAGACTTCCTTCCTATCATACCCCCGATAGTCTTTTTCTTAGATCCCAAGTCTTGATCTCGTTTCTTCCAATTCTCAGCATGGCGCCAGATATTTCTCAGTTGACAACGCAAAGCGACCCTTCGTTGAATATTCCTGCCGATGGTTATCAAATACCTGATATTACCTTTCGTGATCCTCAAAATCGACGCCTCAAGGTCCTCACAATTGGCGCAGGAGTTTCAGGGATCATGATGGCATATCATATCCAGAAACAATGCCAGAAGTAAGGGCACCCAATGTAACGTACAGAGATCAATACTAAGTTGTGCAGTGTTGAGCATGTCATTTACGAAAAGAATCCTGACATCGGAGGAACTTGGTACGAAAATAGATACCCGGGCGCCGCTTGCGATGTTCCTTCACACGCATATGCATTTCCTTTTGCTCTCAACCCTGATTGGCCAAACTATGCTAGTGGTTCTAAAGATATCTGGAATTATCTGGACAAGGTCTGCGAAGTTTTCGATCTTAAGAAATACATGACCTTCAATACTGAGATAGTCGGATGTTTTTGGGACGAGGAGACTGGAAAATGGACTGTCAAGATGAAGCAGACGTCAGAATCGGGCGAGAAGCAATTCGAGGAGACGTGTGACTTGCTGCTACATGCAACAGGCATATTGAATAATTTCAAATGGCCAGATATTAAGGGTATCGAGAAGTTCAAAGGAAAAGTTATTCGTGTGTTGATAGTTACCTTTTGTTCATGAGATAAACACTGACCAGAGATAGATACGGCACGATGGCCGGATGACTATCAAGAAGAACAGTGGAAGAATGAGTCCGTGGCAATCATTGGCTCTGGAGCTTCTTCGATACAGACATTGCCTACGATGCAACCCCATGTTAAGCACATCGATGTTTACGTACGTACTCCGGTCTGGTTCATCTCCGTCGCCGGAAATGACGGAAGAAGCAAAGAATATACCCCGGCGGAGCGTGAAAAGTTCAGGAACGACTTGCCTGCGCTTATGGAGCATACAAAGTACTTGGAAAATAGGATAAATGGTCTTTGGGGTTTATTCTTCAAGGATAGTGCGGCTCAGAAGGATGCTCAAAGATTGTTTGGGGCACGAATGGGCGACATTATCAAAGACAAGAGACTGCTTCAAGGCTTGACTCCTAGCTTCTCTCTCGGTTGTCGCAGAATTACTCCTGGTGAGTGCTCTCTATAATTAATGGGTCAGGCTAATGATGTAGGCGATCCTTATATGACGGCAATTCAAGAGCCAAACGTAGATGTTCATTTTTCTGCAGTTGAGGAGATTACAGAAGACTCTGTTATTGACAGCAAAGGTCAGAAATGTAAAGTGGATACAATAATCTGTGCCACAGGCTTCGATGTTTCATATCGCCCTCGCTTCCCAATAATAGGTCAAAATGGAGTTGATCTTCGAGAGAAATGGAAGACAATCCCAGAATCATATCTTGGTAAGTAAAATTAATTATATTCGCTTGTGCAAGAGAGGTATTGGCTGACAAATCTCAGGTCTCGCGGTACCAGATATACCCAATTTCATTACTTTCATTGGACCAACATGGCCCATTTCAAATGGATCCGTTTTGGGGCCTCTTGGCGAGGTAGCTAACTATGCTATCAAATTCATCAAAAAGATGCAGAAAGAATTCATCAAGTCTATCGCTCCAAAGCAAGATATGACGGATCTTTTCAATGCACATACGCAAGAGTTCATGAAGAAAACTGTTTGGAGCTCAGGCTCAGGTTGTCGTTCTTGGTATAAAAGTAAAGCCTCATGTTCATCGCTTGTCTATCAGTTACTAATTCCGAAAAGATAATGAGACAGGACGCGTGAATGCGGTTTGGCCTGGTAGCTCCCTGCACTATATGGAGGTAATCGAGGACCCAAGATACGAAGATTACAACATAACATACCAAAACAAACATAATCCGTAAGTGGCCTTGACATTACAACCCGTCATAAGCGAGCTATTCAAGTACTTACCTAGATAAAGATGGGCATACCTTGGCTTCGGCTTTACAATTTCCAATCGTACAAAAGGTGCTGATATATCACCATATCTCAATGAAGAAGTCATCGATCCGGAGTGGTTGGAAGTTATGAAATCTGGAGTCCTTGCAGTAGATCGCGATGCAAAATAGTCAACAATCTCCGGAAAATGATATAACATTAGCAGATTCTGTTTTTTTATTTCACCATTCCACCTCATTTCGACATAGATACACTTAGCGACTTCAATGTTTCAACGACAGGTGAACAACTTTCAAAGTTAAAGCTTGCTCTGTAGATTGTCGTGAGATGGTAAGAGGTGGTATTTGAGGTAGGTGCTAGCCGTTGAATAAGTCTTTCTAACTCATTTATGTTGAAAATTCATCAATCCTTGATCGATCAAACATATGTATTCAATGATGACAAGTCATTTTTCTAGCATGTGTCCTGGCAACTGATTATCATTATACCTGTAGAATCACCTTCACGTACACCTCACTTCGTATGTACATCAATACGAACTTCAAAGCTCAAACACAGAAATCTTCTCATTGTAACGATGACCTGTTGATACTGATTATTGTTTATTGCCTAGACTTCTCAGGTCGGCTCTCCCAAAATCTTGATTTCAAAAATTAAAAATCGCAGCTTATTCTCGTGCGCTTATCTCTGTTATTGTGGGAAGATAAAGTGATGTGGGATGAAGGATGATGATCCCCTCCCCATGCGTTTGTGGCACCGCATCTCGGCAAAGCTTGTCTCCACATACACTGTGGCCACTACCAGATGTACAGGGCGAAAGAGCAACGGTCTACGTGAATTGCGGAGTGTGCAAAATCTCACACGCCCCACTTTAGCTTCAGAGCTTTATTTAATAGGTCATGGAATCCTCCCCTGATGTGATTAGAAACCGTCAGAACAATGAATTGTGACTTCCATCAAGACACAGTATCCAAGTATGGAATCCATTGATTCTACCTCCGATTTGGGAGAATTCTTTATTCTTGATGATATCGTAACTGTAAGGGCGGCCGATGTACATCAAGTCCCCCTTCTTGCCTACCCTCGGCCTGGCAAGGGTGTGGCTGATTTCGAACTTTTCACTGGCCAAAATCTGGACAGATTTGTTGATCAAGCTGCCAAAGAATATATACGGCGTGGTTGTGCACCGGTGAGTCTCTCTGGTTATTGGGCTGAGGATTTGTGTTAACGAGATTAGGATCAAGGCCAAGTAATTGCCCTTGCAGGTCCATCCGATCTCGATTATGTGGTATCATTATTTGCGTTGAGTAGATTAGGATATACTGTTCTGCTCCTTTCACCAAGACTCGCAGCACTCGCCATCACAAATCTTCTCAAGATGACAAATTGTGATACTATAATCTATCCGAATCTATCTATGCTCGTTTCAAACTTATCGCAAGCCAAGAACGATTTCCTTCCAAGAGAACTGAGAATGATTTCTATGGCGACGCGTGAAATATACGACAGGCCTGGAGTACTAGAGGAGCCTCGTTTTATCAGAAAGTTTGACAAGCATGAGGAAAGGAAGAAGGTAGCGATAATATGTCACTCTTCAGGCTCAACGGGTCTCCCGAAACCAATCTATCAGCCTCACAATCGCTTCATTGCTACTGTTTCTAACAGAGAAGGAACTTGTGAATTCACAACATTCCCTCTATATCATAGCTGGGGTAACAAACACATCACCAATACGATGTGGATACGGAAAACTATGTATTTGCACAGTGCTACAGTGCCAATGACAGCAGATGGAATGGTTGAAGTCTTGCAAAAGATTAAGCCTTCTGTTTTGCATGCTGTGCCATATGCTTTGAAACTGCTTGGAGAAAGTCGGAAAGGAGTTGAAGAGATGGCGAGTTGTTCTGAGGTTCTTTACTCGGGAAGTCAATGTCCGGATAGTCTCGGTGATTATCTCACAAGCAAGTGAGCATGATCGCTTTTCATTGTTTTTATACTGTGGAATATCTCGTCCAATGAGGAAACTATATGTTGGGGATTCCAGTGATGTTTGGATTCTGCCATGACAAGGAGAGAATTACTGACTTGTCAATTTATCAGAGGTGTGATTTTGAACACATTATTTGGCGCGTAAGTATTTCCTGAACGATCGGTTTTAATAGTTTGTAGATTGCTGAACATAAATCCAGGACAGAGTTTGGCTCTTTTGGTTCAAGCAGAGGACGTGCGCCAGGTGATCACAGTTGGAACTATCTTCGAATTCTGCCCTCAGTACAACCACACGTATACATGAAGCCAATTGGCAACAATTCGTACGAAAGTGTCTTTTTATCATCTTTGTCACAGCTAGTAACAACGAACTCGGATGATCCACCAGGATCTTATCATTCTAAGGATATCTTCACACCTCATCCTACTATCCCCAATGCTTGGAAATATCTGGGCAGAATTGATGATCGGATTACATTAATCAATGGAGAAAAAGTTCTCCCGACACCGATAGAAGGACGCATTCGACATGAATTACTTGTTAGAGAAGCAGTGGTCTTTGGGATCGATAAAGCTTTACCAGGTCTTCTAGTTATACGCTCAGAAGCCGCGCGAGTAATTTCGGATGAGGAATTTATTCATGGCATTTGGCCTGCAATTGAAGAGGCAAATGCAAACGCAGAAAGTTTCTCTCAAATAAGCAGAGAAATGATACTCGCTCTCCCGGCTGGAACAGAGTATCCGGTGACCGACAAAGGATCTATCATTCGCGCTCAGATGTATCGCCAATTTGCCGAACAGATAGAAGAAGTCTATCAACGATTCGAAGAAGCCGAGATGGGAACTCTAGAACTCGAAGGATCGGAATTGGAACAATATATTTTGAGGATATTTGTTGAGGATTTAGGCATCCAGCTTTCAGGTCTCGCAGATGACTTCTTCACTGCGGGTATGGATAGTCTTAAAGCTATTCAAGCGAGAGGCTTGCTTCTGAAAAAACTTTCCATGGGTGGTAATGTTCGAAATCTTAGTCAAAATGTCGTGTTTGAGAGTTCCAATATTGCTGGGTTGGCGAAGAAAATATGTGCGATTCGAAAGGGGGAAGAGGTGACAGATACTGAAGACGTGTTTGAAGCTATGAGGAAAGCAATTGAAAAATACTCGAACTTCAAATCACATACTCCAGGTGCGAGTAGTTCTGAGAAGACATTTGTGGTAAGTCTCCTGATATCCTAGCCGAATACCGATTTTGATAGAATATGCAGGTTCTTACAGGAGCCACGGGCTCTCTGGGCGCTCATATTCTCGCACAACTCTTGCTTAATGATGAGGTACATAAGGTATATTGTCTAGTGCGAGGTGAACATCCACATGCGAGGATACAAGAATCTTTGACTAAAAGAGGCCTTGATGGAATTTCCTCCGATCCAAGAATCATAGGATTAACAAGCAATCTCAGTGGTTCTACTCTCGGTCTCGAGAATTCAACACTCCAGGAAATCAAAAACAAAACCACCCACATAATCCACGCAGCCTGGGCCGTAAACTTCAACGTCGGCTTCTCAGCCTTCGACAACGATCTCGCCGGCCTCCACAATCTCATCCAACTATCCCTCTCCATCTCCTCTCCATCCCCCGCACGATTTTTCTTCTGCTCTTCCATCTCCGTAGCATTGGGTACCAATCCCCCTGCCAGCATCCCGGAAGCCCTCGTCGAAATTTCTCAATGCTCACCCAGCGGTTACGCGCGCTCCAAATGGGTCGCTGAACAAATTACCTCTATAGCATCTTCCCAATATGCAGCTCACGCACACATATTACGTATTGGACAGATAGCCGGAGATACAAAATTGGGTATTTGGAATGACACGGAAGCTGTACCGCTCATTATTAGATCTGCACTCACGCTTGGGAAACTCCCAATGTTGGATCTTGTACGTACTGTCCCATTACCTTACACACACACATACACACACACACACATATCCCACCGTCCATCCCCTAGAAAATCCCCAAAACTCAATACTAACCAACCCGCAGCAATGCACCTGGCTCCCCCTCAACACCCTCACCTCCACAATCCTCGACCTAACCTTCCTCTCCTCCCCCCACAACCCATCTACAACCTCCTCTCCCCCCACCCATTCCCCTGGACACAAACTCTCCTCCCCCTCCTCCAATCCCACAATCTCCCATTCGTCCCCTGTCCCGTAGAAGAATGGATCGAAACTCTCAAACAGAGCGCGAAGAGTATGAGTACGAGTATGAGCACAGTAAGAGAAAATCCAACGGTGAAGTTGGTGGGGTATTTCGAGGGGGTTTATGGACGGGGATATATACAGACACGAGGGAAAGGGAATATAGAATTTGAGATTGGGAACGCGGAGAGGGATAGTGGGAGTTTGAGGAATGCGCCGGATTTGGTGGAAGGAGGGTATGTGGGGATGGTTTTGGAGAGGTGGATGGAGGGGTGGGTGGGGAAGGGGAAGGGGATGGAGGCGTTGTAGATACTGTGATTTATGATCTATGTGGGGGAAAGGAGGAAAGAAAAAGAAAAAAAAAAACATTAACCAGTCATTCATTACTCACAGATAAACCTCATGCTTTTTGAGAGTGGGTGGAATCATAGTGAGACCGAAATATTACGAAGGATCCACCTGACATTATGTATCATACATTACATCATATCCCATCGCTCTCTTCCCATCAGCATAATATCAAGTGACAAAGATACTCGCCTCCCAGAGTAAATACAAACAAATTTCCCCCTTCACAACGCATATCGTTTACTCATTTGTGTAACAATTTGATGATGAATGAATTAATATATCTAACACGGAACCTTAACAAGTAACGCGTAACCAAGCGCCCTCGCTATAAACACCACAAACACCACAACGACTAAAACCAGAACCTTCTAACCCAAACCTGTAGCGCTTTCCCTTTACACAAGCTCAGCAAATAACAAACGCTTTAGCTTCACAGCTTCTTTACCACGAGAACGTCATAAGCGCAGGATTCAAAGCAATGGGTAAAAGTAAATGACTTCCCGTAACCGTAGCCATAGGTAAAATCGCCACGAAATCCTGGATACGCCAATCGTACGGAATGAAAGGTGCAGTGGCCAGGATAACAATACAGGATATGCCTAGGAGAGAAAATATCATGGAGTATTTGAAATTTTTCAAGACCTTTGGGATTTCGATAAAGAAGTTACTGAATTCTGCTTCTTTCGATGTGGAACCCCACGTCATATCGATTTCGAACATGTGCGAGAGGAGGGCTTGGGAAACGTGGAGAGAGAGACCACCAAGAAAGATGGCCAACATTAATGTCCATTTGAAGTTTTCATAGAGGGAGAAGCCGAGACTGCGTTCACCGGCTCGGTAGCGCATTCCTGCTAGTGCGATGTTTCCAAGACCGTTGAATACGATGACGATGGAGAACCAAACTTTCCAGGAATCGATATAGTATTTGTCAAGGTATCCGTTGAACCATCCAATAGCAAAATAGTTGGCCGTGGTTAAGATCCATGCAGCTCCAATAGCATAATAGGTACCGATGTATGAGATAATCGTGATCTTCGAGGTGAATCGGATATTGGAGAACAAGAAGCTTCGGAAGAGAGGAGTAAATGGTCCTTTGTAGAACCACATACGTAATGGGTGGAAGAGAAGTTCGTTACAACCATATGCATACTTTTCCCATCTAGCAAGTTCATCGTAAACGGTCAATGACACACCCTCCTTAAATCCTTCACCAGCCCATGCAGCCAATCGAATAATGTACCCATTGACTTGAAGGCGAAGAGACATATCGAAGTCTTCAGATACATGAGACTCCGACCAGAACTTTTCATATCCATCCTCATCTACATACGAAACCTGCTGAATAGCTGCCCAGCGCAAGATAGCATTGTGACCAACGAAAGGAGCGACATCTCCGTTTGAAACAGTATATCGGATAGCAGTATAAATCAAGTTCGTGAAGAAAGTGATACCATTTTCGAAATAAGTATTGACGACCTGCATAACACCAGAAGAGAATTGCATAATGCCAACTTCAGGAGATAATTCCATTTCAGTGCAAGCATCCAATAAACAATCCACGGGGACACGAGTATCAGAATCGACTAAAACGTGTTAGATGAATCTCTTTGTTAAGATTAATGGAAACTTACTCAACAGGATGTAGTCTCCAATGCGAATGTTTCCATCAGCCCACGCTCGGCCATTGTCCTCCAAAGCTTCTGTCAAGCATCTTCCATATGCTTGTGCTTCATCTGCTTGAGTCCAATCCAAAGGTCTTTGAATCAAGGCTAACTTCTCCTCAACCATACAAGAGATATGAAGTCCGAAGTTCATGTTGGAAGCCTAGGAATACTGTTAGCATAAGTCTTAGAGTTGAAGTGAATTCACTGCAGCAAATAATGACATCAATGACGTGATTGTGGCTTACTTTCTTGACTGTTTAAGAATTAGCGAAGAGACTTTAGATATTTTCAAACGGAGACTTACATTTTCCTTTTCTGGTGAAATTGTCTCCATGCCTTGGTCGAGCAACCCATCCAATGCTATGATCAGCATAAAAATCAATTCTTGCCTGTCGTTCCTTCGCACCGAGAATTTGAAGACCATCATCGTTGATGAACATGTTGGCTGAACCACCTTGTAATTCATACGTAGAAATGGCTGACTTGATGGATTTTACAGTGGGTGCAATAACGGAGTCTAGTCCTTCTTTATAGACAGGGCATTGAATAGTGATGTGCGGGAGAGTCCCTTTGAGAATACGTGGTGGTGCTTCAGCGGAGTAAAACTTGGAGTTGGCTTTCATTTGTCGTACAGGTCCGAAGAGCTGAGCCAAACATCCAACGATAGCTTGAGCGAAGAAAAGAGTGAAAAACACCTGAATGGGGGTTAGGATTAGGAGTGCAAAACGAGTGTAATGTTTATCGACGCTGGTCTCGATGGATACTTGACGGATGCCAAGACCCAGGGTTGTGATGATCAGAATGAGGGTAAGAGTGACCAAAATTGTGTTTTGCAAGTGCAGTGCACGCGTTTGTGGTAGAGGTCGACCATTTTCTTCATCCATTTCCACGGTGGTAGCATCTGGAACTTTCTTCTCTTCCTTAATTTCTTCCTCGAGCTTCCAAACCAATTCCATTAATTCTCCTTGAATTTGCTTTGCTCGTTCGATTAAATTTAGTGCATCATCATCCCACACAACTAGCAAAGCCTCAGATGCAACAAATGCAGCAAATTGGTGTTTCCTCGCGCGAGGTAAATCCTCCATTCCTGGTACAATCTGTATTCTAAGACCATTCAAAAGCGGGACATCGATAGCCTCTGGCGAGCATTCTAGAAAAGTCTTGATAACTCGAGAATTTACTGTCATTGCGCACTGTGAAGATTAGCGATTTGCGAGTTTAAACAAAGTTTCAAAGTTTCTTACTTGAACATTAAGACTTGCACATGCGGCAGCAAAAGAAGAATTTCCTAATTGTGGTGGACAAGCCAGATATGTACCTCTTGTCTTCCTAAGTACAACACCCTCATATTCGCCACTATCATCACTGACCCAGAGGTTTGCGCATTGTTGTTGGTGGATATAGTTGACCATGACCTCATATTTTATACCCCCGATTAAATTTGAGCCAGCGTTTGATCGATTCGAGGTGGATGTTCTTGTCGATGATTGCGAAGCAGGGTGGTCACTCATCGGTTGAAGCAGCGAAGCATTATTGCCTGTTTGTGGAATCCCATTAGGAGCTTGCTTCTCATAAATGGTAGAAGACTCCGCTCCAGTCGCCGGCTCAGGCTTCTTTGGTTTGAAATAGTTTCCTAAACCCATCTTGGTGATGTTCTTAGTAGTCAAATGGAGATGTTAAGAATTCTTGTCGGTGATTGTCGCAATTGAGCCTGGAAGGAAGATTATACAATGAATTGTTAATTTCTACCTTGACGACGTTACAAAAACGTGGAAAGGTGTTACTTTGTGACACGAGTGACTATTTATCTTATCAGAAGAAATACTCCCACAAGAATCCTGCATCTGACTAGGAATAAATCAGAATGTGAATACATACAGAGAGTGTGTCAAGAGTTTTCGGGAACCTGAAAACCGCCTTGTAAACTTTTAAATGCTCTCGTGCAGTTACACGGGTATAACGAAGGTCAGATAATAAAAGAATGAGTGATGAAGGACTGAGACACCGGTTCACGGTAGATTGATTGTTGAGACGATGGATATTAAAAGGATGGAAAGGAAGATCTTAAATCTTGGCAACTATTGAATATAGTCATAAACTTTTTGAATGGAAGATCTGGGCTTGCTCGAACTTGTCTGGTATGGTTCTTAGTATACATCTAGTCTCTGAGAACGTCTCATCTATCCTTGAGTATCAGCTCTAAATGATGCTAAATCATGAATATCAATAGATCTTGTGAAAGGAATTGTCAAAAACTCTATAGACGACGACTTAGCTCATGTTTCCAGGAAGAGACTAGGAAATTCTCTTAGCTCACACTGCCAGGAGTGTCAGGTCCAAAGGTCTTCTTAGGAGCTCATGATAGAGTTCAGTACCTCGTGTCTTTTCACGCACTTGTGTGGTCAATATGAAATCTTTTTCTCCGACTCAGAAAGTCAATACTGCTACCAGGTGGTCAATATCTGTGATTTTTAGCTGTAAGGATTCTGCGCCATGTATGTTGTGCGACCAAACGAAGTTGTTCACTGGCAATATTTTGGTATTTCTTCTGCCGAGAAATCATAGGAATTAGCTTTTGAAGTTACTGGTGATCCTTCCAAAGGCGTTGCCGGATGTTCATTTGAAATTCTGTAGACCAGCACAATACTTGGTAACTTGTACATATGTAATTGGATGAGAGCTTGTCACGTTACTGTAGATCCAAGGACTATATCTGAGGAAGTGACTGCTAAGTAGTAATCTACTGTCTGTTAATATTTGACAGTGTGGAGTAGTGATAGTGATAGTGATATCACTTGCGGATCACAGTGATGGCAGTTAAGATATGGAAAAGACAAGAATCTCGTAGTGTGTGGTGGTTAGATGGAAAAAGTGGAATCCGAATGAGGCTTATTGAAAGGTGGACTAAGAGATCTAGCGCATCTCTTAGCATTCAAACCGTTGACTACCTAGGCAGGTACCTATGCATGACATAAACGATTGTATGATTCTATTGGTAAGCCAAGTTTATCTCGTTAGCGGGACTTCAGTGGCTTATATAAGGTAATGCAGGTACATACTTTTTCAGCCAAAAGTTAAATGCTTCAACGATATACGATCAATCGATGAAGTAATTGCTCCAATATCGGAAGAAGATATATTTCATACCCACTAGGTATTCTTACCTTTGCTCTATATTAGCTGGTATATCTTACCTAGGTAGGCAAATCGATACCCACCAATTTTATCATGTTATACTAGCATCACCTTCAAGTCAATGACTGTTCGATCCTAGATCCTGGTGACATTACCCTGGAGAAATGGAGGGGATAGTGAAGATGGTGAAATAGATGGTCTTCAAATGGTGGAGAAAATCGGATCCCTTCAATATCAAAAGGACCCCTCACAGTACTCTGATATCTCGCATAATTCTTTCTAGCTACCATAAGTAACAGAAGAAATAAATGCCCACCAGAAAAGGAATCACCTCTTATCATTTTCCTGAAAAGTGAGGTCTACAGTTTGTGTTTCCATCGGAATGTGAACGAGGAAGATTTCAAAGGATCTTCTCAACTATTACTCCATTTGCTATCATCTACACGTTTTTGTGTGTCTTCTTATGCTCTAGGTAGGAGACGGAATCTTGCATGAGGAATATAATATACATGGCTCATTACTGATTGCAAGCACATGGATTACTCACCAATACCGAAAAATCCCATGATACTAAGCTCTTGTGGCACACAAATGTTCAGTATTGCTCGCGCCAGATTTCCATGTCCATCTCATAGGCGGGCTTGAAATTTTGAAATACCATAAGAAATACCTAGTAGAAAGCTACAGAAGAAGAATCTGATATTGAAGTCTCCATCCTTTATCTTGGCAACAAGACCATTGCCGACCGGGATATATACTGCCGAATGCAATCCATCGCCTAAAGTATCTGCATATAATCCTGTGTGGCCATATCTACTTGAAGATATACTTTGAATGCTATATGCACAGACAGATATCAATATCGATCTACGGTTCTGAAATGCTAACGACTACTACAACTCCAATCGCTCAATGTTTCATCTGTCGGAATTCAAGAGACTATATAAAGTCTAAGCTCTAGATTCTAGTAGTTAATCTTTTCAAAGACACTTCTGACACCTAGAACTAACTACCTAATAGCCCGAACTAAGTAGATAATCACACATAGCAATCAACTCCCCAAAAGATATCGATAAGTAGGTATCTACCCAAGTATCCCACAAACCAACAGATTATACCACCATCTCTCGTTCTCTCCCACATCCCATCTAAATCCACAAACACAACGCCTTTCCTCAGAACTCCAAAACCTCTCTCCTTTGAAGTGAATATCTCAATTCAAATTTCCATCTATAACTACCTACCACGTACTCGCTTCTGAGGTTTTCCCCTCTCAATTATCGATTTACATACTAGATATACATACCAGACACGTTTGAAACCACACTAACGTAGATAACTACATATGCAAATTCTCTCCAAACAATTCTCGTTTCCTTCACACAACTATCTACCTACCTACCAATCTATCTACCTAGTAACTCAACATCCTCAAACTCAAAAATCCCATTCCCATTTCCAATCCTTAGCACAAATACAAACACCAAACCACAAAAACATTCACATGGAAGAATCCATTCTTCCTTTCTTCCTTCCTTTCATCCCCCTCAAAATATCAAAGAGAAACCACCAACCCCGTAAACGTAAATGTAAGCTAAGAGAGAGATGATTCTCAAACTTACATTCCACCTCAAATTCAAACCGAAATTCAAATTCAGCATATTAAAATCTATGCAACAAGTTTAACTGTATTCATTGGCGTAGATATAGATATAGATATAGATATAGATATAGATATAGATATAGATATAGATATAGATATAGATATAGATATAGATATAGATATTAATAAATAGGATAACAGCGAAATTTGAGGTTTCAAAATCCCCCTGTGCTTGGGTAGGTATACAATGCTATATTTTGTTACATTGTGTTTTACTGTATGAAATTACTAGATAGGTAGGTAAATAGGTAGGAGGTATGTCGGTATTATCTTCCATTCATATCCTATATGACGATTGAATTATTAATACTGATCTGCATCTCTTTTGTCAAGGTGAGTATATATGTAGATAAATGTTGATATATATATACCTAGGTACTTCTATCATGTCCATACCTAGCATCCATACCTAATATTCATATTCATACTACATGAGAAATCCCAAGTCCATAAGATCTTACATACGTACGTGGAATTTTCACTCGGCTATACTACTAGGTAGGTATTTTGCTTATACGATGTGTACTTTACTTTTTCATACCCTCTCCTCTCCTTTCATTTCTTTCCTTAGCTTCTCCCTCAAAGACCAGAGAACAAGAATAATAATAAAAATAGAGAATAAATCGAGACGTGAAAATATCAAATTCCATCCCATGAGCAGAAATTTGTATCTATTCGTACGACCTACCTAATAGTATGTGCTACAAATTCTTGTGTCTAAACACCACGTGAAGTAAATTGTTCAGGTTTCCCAGTAGGCAGAGATCGGTTTTTGGTCGCACATCTAGCGAATAGTATTGTATCGTACAAATGTATTGTATCTCGAGATGTTTTGTGGTTATATTGAATTTAGTATAGAGGGACGGAATGGACTCGAATTCCCTTCTTTGCTACAACACTATTGTTCATTAATGAGTATGTATTCATGAGTATACCAATACCTTGCTTACCATCAACAACGTTTCATCTCAACAAATCCGACAAACTCCCCCTCTCTTCCCGATCTCCCACGTCCAATCCGCATCCAAAAAAACGCAATAAACTCAGCCCCAACTTCAGCCCTGCATATATATCACATCCCGTACCACAACTCACCTCCCACAAACCACAAGCCCTTTCCCTCCATACCACCATCAATACAACCACTAATCCCAATATCCAATCCCCCTTCCTCCACATCTCACTCACTAACCCCATACACAAACAATCCAATGAATCTGTGCCCCATATCCTCGTACCCTCGTACCCTCGTCCACCATCCCATATCCCCAACCCCATCTCGTGGCTCCGCCGCTGCTCCCCAGATGTATTGTGGAGATGGGGTTGAGATGTTATGTGAGATGCTGATGTGATGTGGTATATAGTTTTTTGATAATTGGTATCGTGAAACACGCAATGAAATTTAAGAGAAATTCCAAAAAAGTAGCGCCGAGATGAGACACTGGTGGTGGTGAGTTTTAGGGACGGGGAATTAGATGGATGATAGAATGAGAAGATGGGAAGATGAGAAGATGATAGGATGATAGGATGAGCAATTATTATACGACTGTACTTGTATCCTCGAGATATGTAATCCCACATCCACATATTCTCCCAGATATCGGGATTCTTTTCTCGGGGAGGTGAAAGTGACAATCGGGATGTTGTGAGATCGGGACTGTAGGATTGGGATGAAACTGTGTGTGTTATTTTGTTGCTTGTTTGTCTGTGTATGATTCCCGAGTATCATTATTCCTATTCTTCGGACCAAGATGAATGAAACCTAAATCACCGTCATCATTCTCTTTCCATTCTCGCTCTTCGAAGATGAGTTGTGAATATTAGTCAACATTCACATCCTATCGC